GTCACAAACTCCTCCTGAGCATTTCTTATTCTTCTGGACTTCCAAGTTTACCCCCACTGTATCTGACACCTTTAAATTGTTCTCATTCATTTATTCAACATTCACTTAGTATTTTCTGCATACCTTACACTGTACTAAGTGGTGTGATTTAATGGAAATAAGAACATGACCCCCGCCCTTAGGAAATGAAGACATACATAAAAGGTAGAGATTGGTTCCAAGGTAGTGGGCCAGTCGAGAAGGCCCAGTGCATATAGGGTTGGTCTAAAAATAAGTGCAGAATTTGGTGAAAAAGGAGGAGGAAGGCTACTTTAAAGAAACGGTATGATTCAAAGCAGCAGGTCATCGGAAGTAAAAGCTACATAAAGGCCCTCTGTCACTTGAGGCATACATATGTCTTTCTGTTCTCAAATTTTACTTCAGAATTAGCTATCAAAGAATCAGAGCTCTGACTGTTACTATGATTCCCCAAAATCACCACAGATTAGGTAGCTCACAAGGCATGCTACACCGGGGCCTCTGTGGGTTAGCCGAAGGCAGGACTTTAGAAGAATCTAAGAGAGAGGGTCTTCCAAAAGGAGTGTGGGGAGTTAGGCATCTTTACGGTCCTAGGCACACAAAGACAGCTACTACTCTTAGGTGATAAAGATACGCACCAGCGCTCTAAATCAGTCAGGCCACTCAAGGGTCGCTCAACTTCATCTAAGGATTTGCTTTAGCCAAAGCTCTAGCACAGCCCAAGCCATTTAAAGCAGTTTGAAGCACTGAATTTGAAACGGGGATGTGAAATGGTGATGCCAGGGGTGCCCCCTTTCCCACTGTTTCCCTGGTGAGCTCTTCTCTCTTGCCTTAGGACTCACAGTCCAAGATCCAGTCCTCTGGGAAGTCTTCCCTAACTTCCTTAAGCTGATGTAGGCTCTCTTCCTTGTGCTTCCATTAACATCTTATGCATACTGCTAGGATGGCACTTAACAAACCATTCTGTAATTATTTGTTTACATGTCTGACTAGCCATAAGCTCTTTGATGGTAAGGATATTTTATTCATCACTGATTCCGCACACAATAGGCATTCAATTAACATTTGTTGAATGCATTAAGGATGAATGCCATGGGATTCAAGACCAAAATTACAGTAAGTACTTACACTAGGTATCTGAAGACCAAACTCCCATTATGCATTTCCACTACTTAGATCATTCTTGGTCAGCACAAGAAGCCAAAGTTATGAGAAGTCTGCCAAGTTACCACCCGAGAATATGAGGGTTTACAGTACTAAGAATGATCCAACACAACAAATGAACCAATAGAATCAAATCTAAGACAGATTCTAAGTTCCAGGCTCGTTGTCCTGCTTCTGGAGAAGAACATGAACAACAGTTTAATAAGAGTCCTTAAAAACAACCCATTGCCGTCGAATCAATTCCAACTCACAGCGACCCTACAGGACAGAATAGAACTGCCCCATACGGTTTCCACTGCGCCACCAGGGCTCCATTAGAAGGGCCAATATCTCCAATGCCATGGAACCTTGTGGCTAATTTTGATTCAACACCACCGCTGCTGAAATATACAGGCAAGCTGTTCGCCTTCTGACCAAATGCAATCAAGGTTCTGCTAAGGGACAGGGATCTTTACTAAGTCCTCCCAGAACCTTGCCTGTACATTAGCAATCTAAATCATTCCTCACCGGGTTTACTCATCTCTAAAGAGATACAGGCAAGGCAATAAAATGCTGCTGTCTCAAATGCCTGCTCGCTATAGCAATATAGCACCATGCAAGGCTATTGTGTTTACAAACTGCTAATAAGACACAAAAGTCTAATCTGATCGTGTGGGAACAAAGACTGGATTCCCTCAGAGATTAAACAAATTTAGTCTACTTTGGTATTTCTAAAGTTGTGGGACTCAGCAAAGTTGAAGAAAGTATAAGACCCGTGAGGGGTTGGAAAGGGACTTAGCCTCTGAGGAACTTCTACAGCTAGGTGGGTTTTGGCCCTTGGCTTCCAGTGAATGAGATAAGCAATGTTCAAGGGCAAACCAGGAGAACTATTATGCTGGCAGACACCTGGCTCCTTGAATGTTACCATTCCTAAGAAGCCAAGAAGCTCCGGTTAAGTTAATTTAGGTCTCTTAAAGAGACAAATTTGACTCTCAGAAAAAAAAAAAACAAAAACAAACAAACAAAAAAATCCCACTGCCATTGAGTGGATTCCAACTCATAGCAACTCTATAGGTCAGAGTAGAACTGCCCCATTGGGTTTCCATGGAGCAGCTGGTGGATTCGAACTGCTGACCTTTTGGTTAACACCAGGACTCCGTTTTGACCCTAGGCAAGAGCATTTATTAAGCCAGTTGCTCAGACTAGGTGGTTTAGCAAGTTTCTTTCTGCTACTACAGTTCTTACATAACTCCAGCTGTGCCACCAACACCTGCAGCTTCATTAGTCACAACTTAGTCCTTAACAGGGTATGTGGTCCCACTCTTCTCTTCCAAGAAGGGAAACTGAGTCATCGCATATCAACTGGCTTCCCCAAACACAAAGTTCCTTTGTAGTGTGGCCACGCTTGAACCCAGGAAGCCTTCCTCCTATTTATCTCCTCTCCTGCATTAATCTCAGCATGTCCACTCCTGCTGTTCTTTTTCCTTTTACCTAAAACTGAATCAATGCCAGCCTGAAGGGCGAAAATGTGCACACTTGATCTTTCAGAGCCAGCAGGAGCTTCTAGTTCTCCTCTTTTCCAAGAAAGAGGAAGGTGAAAGAGGAACATGGAGCAGGGGAGGGGAAGGCTTAAGAGGGGTAGCTCCCAATACTAGAACTCACCTTGGAGCCGAGGTCCTCTCGCCGGTTTCCTGCCTTACTCCTGCGTAGTTTGATGGATGGGGATCGCAATAGGTTCTTGATCCGGCTGGTAATGGTTGATCCTTCCACAGCCATCATGCTGAGGAGCCCCTTGGAACAGCCCCTGGCTCGGTCTTAGGGCCTGTCTCAACAGCGGCACGGCTTTTCCACTCCGCAGGGCCTTCCAATCCGCCCTCTTACTGACCTGAGATGGCAGAGGCCACCTTAGCATTAGAGTAGGTGTCTTACCTTCTGCCTAGCTGTGTCAGTAGCTCTTACCTCTAGGTATTGCCCTCTCCCTTCCCCGACAGCCCCTCATCTCTGCTCCCAAGCCCTGCGCTGTTTCTTATCAAGCCGGGAAGTCAAACTCCTGGAAAAGGGGGAGGGGGGATCCTGAGGCGTGAAGAAATGCCAGGCCCACGCCTACCAAAGGCGTTCCGCTGGTGGGATGGGTTGGGCCCTAGCAGGGCTGGTGGCTGGCTGGTGACAGGTCTGGTCCCCGTTAATTCCCAACTGTTCCCATGGCAACTGCGGCGCTCAAGGAAGGAGGCCGCCGAGGCCACCGGGGAGTTCGCAACCCGTTCTGCCACAGGAGCCTCCTCCACCCCGACCCTCCGGAGCTCGCTCTCTGCCAGCCACACGGGCCCTGGCCTTCTCTTTCACAGCCCCTCGTCCCCTAACCCTAGGAGCCCCTGGTACTCGTCAGCGCCCCCGCGAGGGCCCAGCCTCACCAGCCCCGGGGCGCAACGGCCGCCTGGCTCACTGCGCCCTCAGGCATCGCGCTCGGCGATTTCAGCCCAGCCGCGGCAGCGACAGTAGCAGCTATGGTGGCACGAGCGGCTCAAAACGCGAACTACCGCCTGGGCCAAGCTCACGCGCTCGGTGGGCGGAGCCAAGGCGAGAGCGTACGGTCTGTATCCAGGAGGGCGTTTGGAGAGTGGACCTGCAAGGTTTACGGGGGCGGAGCCAACGAAAGGGCCTAGGAAGTCGATGACAAGGGGCTCGGAAACCAGAGCTTCCACACAATGCAGTCGTGGGTACCGCTACTAGGTGAAGGGTCAACAGAACATGGCTTCAGAATTGAGAGAACCAAGCCTTTTATGGTATTATCGGGCCTGGTCCCCCAGAGAACCGCACTTTCCAGAGTCCCAACTACAAGACGATAACCACGCCCCCAGGGTGCATTTGATAGGCTCAAGGGACCAGAGCTGCAACTAATTCCTAGCTCAGAATTACAAGACCGAGGTACAGCCTCAAGGCTCTGCCCCCATCAGTCTCAAGCGCTAGAATTTAAAGCGGTTAGGTTTCTGCTTGCGGCCAGCCGACGCGTCAACCCACGTGGAAATGACTCTTCTGAGTAACTCATTCAATCGCTAAGAACAGCGTTTTGCACTGGGCGACCTACTGACCATGGTGCAAGGGGAGGGAGAATGTGGCCTTGAATAGAGCTTTAAGCAGGCGGGGGAGGAGGAAGACAAGTGAATGTGCTTACGAAGCATTGTTTCATGGTTTTTTTTTTTTTCCGCCTCCAACGTCCCGCCACGCTCTCGCACCCAGAATTAACCAGGACTTTATTGCTCCAGGGCTTTCCCTCGCTCCTGTCAAACTTAGTGAATCCTTTTCCGTAGGAACATTAATTACCGAGGTCACTACAAACTCGATTTAATGTATTTTTTCTAGCTCATGGGAGGAGGGGCACGGGAACACTTTACATACTCATATTTCACAGGCGTCTCGGCCTAAGAGTTTATTTTCTAGGAACCCCAAGATTTTCCACCTCATTGTTTCTTCAAGAAAATGCCTTGTGAAAAGGTTAGCCTAAGTCAAAAGACCTGGGTCCCAAAGGAATAGGACACTAATGTGCCTTTCTTAACCCTATCCAGATCCTTGAAACCCCTAAGGGGGGAAGATAACATGTTACCAAGAGGATTAAGACCCACTGTCAACGAGTGGATTCCGACTCATTGCAACCCTACAGAACAAACTAGAACATAGGGTTTTCTAGGCTGTAATCTTTATGGGAGCCGACCGCCACACCTCTCTCTGGTGGAGTGGCTAGTGGTTAGCAGCCCAGCACTTAACCATTGTGCCTCCAGGGCTCCTTACCAAGCGGAGGGGGGGGAGGGAACCTAAACCCACTGCTATGGGTGGGCCTTATACAACCAAGGGCAAAGCAGGCATGCCCTTGTGTGCTGTAGCCATGTATTGAAAACAAGCTCAAAGGTTGCCCTAGAGATCAGAGATCTCACCTCCTAGAAGACCAAATGGCAATAGCTACCAGAGACATGAGGCTTCTTTCCCTCCAACCATGCACTGCGGATGTTATGGAATGTATGCTATAGAATATAAAATCGGATTTTCAAAATTCTCACACCAGGAGAAAGGAGAAAAGAGCCATTACCTGCAACAGTATAAAATACGGGGTGGGTTCCTTCAGCTCCTTGTAGGACTGATTTTACCTTACGGGAGTAGAAGACAGAAGAACTAATGGTGCCACATGGTGTCTTTACTTGCATGCTGCAGAACTCAGTAACTGCCACTTCACCCATGAAATATCTTTTTTAAAACAGTGTTCACAGGAGTCACCTAATCCTCTCCAGGTCATTTTTATGCCCACTAGTGGTTTTCTCACTTACCTAACCACTGAAAGCCAGGTAATTGGGTGTACAAAGTCTCATTGATCATTTCCTGCTCAAAGCTATGCCGGTTTACACCCTTTGAGAAAATATTCCCCCAATTACCCTCATCTGAAGCTGCAGAGACGAATCCAAGCTCCTGCTTCCCTTATCTAAGATGATTTAAGTAAAATACAACTGACAACAAGGTACTGAGGGGCTTTCTTAAATCTGGAATCTAAAGACTTCTGGTTTAGTGCCAGAACCACACTTTTTATTCTGCATCAGTCCAATCTTTACTGTCTACATATCACGTGGCTTTTGAGGTGCCTATATGAGAACAGGTTGTTTTCACACTTCATTAATTCCTCAGAAAATAAGTCGCCAAGTCCCGTGTGAATAGGTGTTATTTCCTTGAATTAAGTTCTTGCCATCCCATCCTCCAAAATGCAGTTATTTCATGATCCATATGCTATTTCACTTTCTATTCTGCTTGTATGTCCTAAACATGTATATGTGGTGTTTGTCAGATTCTAAAATTCTAGATATCTGAGAACAGATGTATGCAGATGTGTTTAGTAGTATGCTCATCGGATCAGATTTTAAAATTCACCCTAGGATTAACATACAAATAAAGTGTATTTAGTAGAAGATCCTGGAAAACTGACAGGCTGAACATTTGCTCATCAATCCAAGTATTTATTGAGCACCTTACATGCAAGGCACTGTGGGACAGTGAGACCAATGTTTGCAGGTAGAAACAGGACGCATCTCAAAACAATGCTTCCAAGACTGCTTACCTACTTAACAAAATTTCTTCTAACAACAGAGTTTACAACGATAAAAGAATTTGTAGAGCTTAGATTTGAGTCTCAAAATTCCCAACTCACCCTACGGTTTAGCCTTCTTTCTCTCCATACACGCCTCCATCATTATTACGCATTTCTGTGCCTTTGTAGAGCAGTAATTCACTAATATTTACTACACTACAGTTATGCTTCAGTTTAAAAGTTGCATATACCAAATTATTTTCCTCTAACATAACCTCAAAAATATTTTTTTATTTGACTGATTTTTTTTCTCCAAATGGCAGTGACTAAAATTTCTCTGCATCTACCCATTCGTGTGTCCATGTAGTTTCACTAGAGGTAATACGACATGTTAAGATCGATGCCCTTACAAAACGACAATTCTGTGCAAGAAACGTGTTCTGATTCTTAGTTATCAGTCATTCTCTGTAACAGTACCTAAAAATGTGCTACCTACACTGTGCATTGGTTTTTGTTGTTTTTAACTTCTGCGAGGGGCAAACGTTATCACTATTTTTTTAGCTCTGTCTTCAAAGTGCACTTACCTCTCAATTCAATTCACCTAGTTCCATTTCAAATATCTCAACCATTAGTTAGAAAATTTACCTATAACTACGGAACTCCTGCTCCCCAAATATATGGTCTGTCTGCTTTTCTTCTATGTTCGAACCAGTCTGCAACTTGGTATAGAAAGGCCTAGCATCAGCTATTTCATCCATAATTCTGGGGAATAAACCTACTGCATTTAATACAAGGTTATAAAATGAACAATTCGTATGAAGTTTGTATAACTGGATTTGATCTGTTAGTGACCTTAAGTAGATTAGAGTAGCTCAATGTTTAAAGAACTTCAATAAAACTTTTTGTAAATTGTGATGCTAGTTAACAAATATCCTGCTTTAAGAAAATCTATTGCCCTCCGCCACTAAGACTGTGGTTTATGACCCCTGTCATTACCCAGGTAACAGGAACACTGCCTTGCACACATGGTCCTATGAGGCTAACCTTTCGTCACTGTGGAACACTTCTTGAGACAAATATTTGCGATCAAGATGTACAAAATTTTGACGTCTCCATGGAAAACACGCTACACAGCTTAAAAACACCAAAAATATACCAAACAGCTTGTCAGAAACTTTCTAGGAATTCCTAGGCTCCAACTACATCAGTGGCAGCTCTACTCCAACTCGGACAAACCTCCCAACACCAAATCCTGCTTGAATTATGGAAATTGATTTATTTCACATTTATACATTCTGCCTTTTGGTTGCCCAATTTCTTCTTCTGTTCTTAGGTTTCTAAAAAAATAGTCATTTTTCAAAAGCAGGAAAAAAAAGATATATATTTAATATATAAAACAAAAGGCTAATCTGACATAATTATATTCTTAAAAACATTCCATTTATTTACAGATGTATTAAAAAGGCGAATTATTGGTCTACTGAGATCATGCTTCTTCTAGAGCTAGGGTGAGAGCCCACTGATCTCCAAATCCCTCACCTCCTCACTCAACTACGTTTCTCATAATCACACATGTAGTTTTCATAGATCAGTTTCTCCTGGGGTAAGGTTAAAGGGCAGGAGTTTTGGGAGATTTCAGATTTCTGTCAAGACTGCAGGACTGTTCTGAAGACTGAGCCTTCCTCAAACCTGCCCTGAGGAGTCCTAGTTCTAAATGGTCTTGAGAACACCCTATCTTGGGGGTTTGTAGTAACATCTGCAGCCTTGCCTGAACACCTGGAATCATTCTCTCATTTCCATCTTCGTATATGATTAACAGAGCCCAATATCCTCCCGTCAAGAATAGATTTTTCTCCTAAAAAGGGAACAGTGTTCAAAAGCTAAAATGGTCCTTCTTTTCCTGAGGATTGTTTGCTCACTTGTCTAGTCCTTGGCTGACCCTCAAAAGCCGCATGAGCCTTGGGAAGTCAGGAGGAAATGTGGGGAAGAGACAAGCAAGGATATAATGGGAAACTGCTATACCTGGATTGGATTAAAGTACTAGCATCTCCAAGGACAATTATTAGCAGGGGAGACAGGAGCTGGAATCCTTGGCTAAGGCATTGAATGAAATCTGGGGGGTAAAGAGAAGTGGGTGGGGTAACAAGAAGCTGAGGGGCGCGTTACCTACTTCAAGCTGCTTCCGCAGCCTTTGGAGCAGCTCTAGGAAGGTGAGTAGCACAAACCAGCAAAGAATCTGCTCCCACTGCAGTCTGCAGAGAAAGCGGTTTCCTCATCCTTTCAATCTGCTCCAACTGCAGTCTGCAGAGAAAGCGATTTCCTCATCCTTTCAATCTGCTCCCACTGCAGTCTGCAGAGAAAGCGGTTTCCTCATCCTTTCAATCTGTTCATTGCCAACTTAACAGCAAGGGAACCCACCATGGAAGCGTTAATAATAAATCACTGGCTAGAACCTTTCCAAAGTTGGTCTCACAACCTAGGTCTGAAGGTATGCTGAGTGGATTTGGGATAAAGAAGGCAGGGGATGATGTAGAGGAAATAACATCACCTAGGCACAGCCCAGGCACTGGAAGCTCTTGTGTTAAGCGTTTCACAACACAAGCAAATCCTGTCAATGAAGACAGAACAGGGATTACATTCCAAAATATAATTATTTAAGAAAGGCAAAATGCAGCAGCTAAATCCCAGTCTATACAGTTTCAGAATAGTGATTCTTGCCCCCAGGAGTTTCCAAGAGACCCCTCAAGTGCACCATGATTATTTACAAACTAGATAGGAAACATCATTTCTATACTCAATACAAATCTCATCTTTGAGGCTGAGAACTTCAGCCTTTGAGAAATCTATGAAAACAACTATACAAAAATATAAATATCTTTACAGACTGTCAGTCCTTCATACTCTGACAGAAAATGGGTGAAAAAGCTCTACAGATCACTGAATCCATGGTAGCAAGTAATACAAAATAGATCTTGTGATTCAAATACTGCCTTACTTCCCTGGTAGAGTGCCCAATGTGACTTTTCTTTACATCCTGTGCAGGTAACAGCGAGTCAAACCTTCAAGCACCAGGAGGCTGGTTTGACTTGGGAAATATCCAGCCCCACAATTTATTATTTTGGCCACTGCCTCTGGTCTGGGGGTGAGGGGGACGCTTTCATTTGAGCTGTCTCTTAAGTGACGTGATTTGTGAAAGGGGGAGGGCTCCCTCCATGTCTACCTCCAAGATAAACATTCCCAGTAGAAATCCCTGGCACTGTGAAATGGTCTTTTCAAAATCCTTGTGAGGGTTGAGAATAAGGGAGAACTGTTTTTTTTTTTTTAACTTCTCAAAACAGCTTAATGGTAAACATTAGAAGTACCCCTATTTTACCAGACAACTTGAATTTATAATTCTAACTGAAATAGTGAGAGAATGGAAGCTACTTGGGATAAAAAAGAATAGAAAAAATTTTGCTGAATGACAAAGTCCTTCGCTTTGGTATTCCATGGTACCCATACTACCTGTCCCTATGCTTGAAACACCAACCAAAAAACTCTCTCTTCTGGATCCCTTTGCACAAGCACATCACATTCCTTGGATTGCAGATTTAAACAGCCCTACAGCTATCAGCTATAGTTCAGTCCATAACAACTCCAAAGTCTCAAGCAGCTTTTTCCCCGGGAGGGAAGAACTAGGGACCACTGTATGGACTGGGAGTCTTGTTATCAATTGCTTGGGTAGGAGGGGCACCTCGTGTTCAGTAATGGATCACATCTTCATAGAGAGGATGAGGGGACCCAGCACCACAAGTGAGGTAACACATTTTAACATGATCAGAATTTCATAGCAGTAATTTCTTACACTGGGATCAGCACCCTACCCCCTTTCTCCATCATTATCCACTGCATCCTCAAAGTCAAGGATCACAGCTCCATGACACAAACAGATGCCTGCAGAGAAAGGAGGTGAGATTCAATTTCCTCTCACAGCCTGGCTTCTGCCTGAGGACAAATAAGTTCATTTCCCTGCAGAACTTGGTGAGGCTCCAGAGGTGCCCAATTTAGACACAACAGGAGCCAGTGTGGGCATCACCTTGCTCTCCCGGCCTTCCTGGTCATTCCCTGCTAAGTTCGTTTTGTGTCCAGCTGACCCAATTTTGGCAGCTACAGGTGCCAAACAAGGCATCACTTTGAGACTCTGACCATCTGCCTCACTGGAAGGATTAGCTACTTTTAAGCCCAGAGGTGCCAGCTTTGGCATAGGCCTCCACAAAGCCTCTGCGCTGCTGTTCTCCAGGCCAGTCTTCATGTGCAGGAGGGGGGGTGAGGACACACTTTCAGGCTCTGTAGGGAGGCTGGACGTATTCTTCCCGCCATCACTGGCTTTCCTGTGGGAAACAAGGGAATCCTTTATCTCGGGGTCAATGACAATCTTAAGTACATCTGTCTCAGAGGCTGCTTCTGCCAGCTGTTTTTCACTCTCAGAAAGGTCATCATCTTCCAAGTGCAAGAGGAGGGGGCTGATGGGGTCACTCCCTCCTTGTACATCAGGCGACTCTTTCAAACCAGTTCCCAAGTGGTCAACCTGGAAAGTTCCTCTGTTCCCAGGAGGAAGCTTACTGATAAAGGCCCGTCGAGCATCCCCTGGGAACTCTGTACCCACAGGGCTGGGCAGCTCAGCCATGCCAACAGAGTCATCGTTTAGCTGTTGATTAAGAAAGGCAATCTCACTGAGCAGTGAAGTCAGGGTCTCGTCAGTGTCATCCTCATCCTCCATGTTAGTCAGCAGTTCACTGGGATCCAGTGCCGCCTCCTCTATGGCAGATGCAACGTTTCTCAGCTGCAGCTCCATGCTTGAGTCCTTAAGATCTTTCATCTTTAATTTATGAAACAGAGACTCTTTTGGCTTCAGTCTCCCTCCTCTTGATTCATTCTCTTTCCATTTGTGCTGGATCCCTCTTATATCGCCAGAAATCTTTTTAGGTAAGAGCTCCTGTGCTTCCTGAATACTGGAAACATCAATTATTTGCGGAAAACCAGAATCTTTATTCGCCAGAAAAACATGTGTTGGACTCAGCGCCATTCTGCCATCTCTGTGGTTGCCTCTAGAAGAGATTCTGCCCGAATCTTCAAAGGAGTTATCTTCACTTCTGATGGTGTCTCTCAGGTGGTCTGGGGGCTTGCTGTCAGGAACTTCATGAGGATATTTGCTGCCACTCATATCTACCAAACCTTCCTCTGTGGCCAATGATGTCACATTAACAATTCTTGGCATCATAAATAAGTCATCATTTTCTAGGAAAAAAAAATTTTTTCATTTAGATCTACAGTGGTAAATATCTCTCACACCCAATCACACCCAATGACCATCTCAGGGAGTTGCAGTTAAATTCACCAGCCTACTTTTACCAAGAAGATGAAGGAAAGATTAGTTCTTCAAATTATGGACCCAACCTAAAAAGAAAATAGTCAAGTAAAAGCTAACCATTCAAAAGGCTCTTTGACATTTCAGTATTAGAAAAAGTTCCATTTAATCATTTTACAGAAAAGTTCCCCAAATTAAATCTTTATCCTGAAGCAGAAATGCATCTTCATTCTGTTCACCCAGTTAACTGCTACTCTGAGAGGGAAATGAGGCCCCAGAGGCAGCAGTGTAAGGAAAAGGACTGCTCCTCGTATTGGATTTCGCAACAGAGACGAGGAACTGCTGGATGGCAATGGCAACAAAGTCAGATCTAAGTATTGCTAAGGATACCTTAAGGTCCCTGGGTGGCACAAATAGTCTGCGCTTGACTATTAACTTAAAGGTTAGCAGTTGGAACCCACCCAGCAGAGCTGTGAAAGAAAGGCCTGGCAATCTGCTTCGGTAGAGATTAAAGCCAAGAAAATCCTGTGGAACAGTCTCTTCTATAACACATGAGATTGTCATGACCCAAAATCAATTCAAGGGCAATGGGTTTGGTTTTTAAGGATACCCTTTATCTTAATAGAAATTTAGGTGCCTGGGAAGCTAAATCATCAAAGTGGGGCTTCCTTTTCAGTCTCCTACCTCCTACCCTCAAAAGGGAGTGGTGTTCAGACAGAATCAGGCCAGTAATGTAGGAGTGCACTATCTCTAAGTACAATACAAAATTGGTAAATATTATCATCGCCAAGAGGTGAGAATGACCCCTCAACATCTTCGTTTTATTCTGTTATCTTTTTAAATTTTTTCCTGTTCAGATATAACGACAGTTCACAAAATAGTTCCCAATGCCAGGTAAGAAAGACCAATTAACACCAGGGGTCAAGTCTGACATTCTAAAGAAGATGATCATCTCCTGTCAAGGAGAATGCCAATAAAACAGCTCTTTATCGTTACTGATCACATTCAAAAGCTTTCTCTGTAACTGTGCGATACCAGAAACAACTCTCCTCACTACCCACAGAAGACAACGCTTATTGGCATACCTGACTGAGCCACAGCATTGCTGGCAACTTGAGGCTTCAGATCTGCTTCTAAGAGAGCAGGAGAAACAGTTACCACCGGTCCTGAGAATAGGGGGCCTTTTAAGGTGAGCAATTGCCCTTGCGGAGTCATCACGAGGTTGGCAGAGGTGTGTGGAGTGTTAGAGGGCGAGGTATTTTCTGTAAGGAAGATCAGAAGTTAGTTAAGGATAAAAGACCTTCAACTAAGGCTGTGTGACCCAGTAGCCTAGGAAGACATTTCTAAAACTATATATTCTGACTTAAAAGGCAAGAAATAAAATTCAAATTTAGCGAGGGAATCTCAACTTGGAACTGACTTTTCCGAACCATTTTTCCCTGAGTAATGGTTACTTGTCCACTGATTGTCCCACAGGAGAGGATTTCGCATTTGCTGAGGAACACAGCGATGGCACTTTTTTTTCAATGGAATGCTTCTGACACCGGCAGCCAATACAGCAAGATGCTCCACAGCTATTCCAAACAATCCAAAGACAAACTGAGGTCTCGCTAGTGGACAAGATGTGGCAGAATGAAGGCATACACGATTCTCTCCCCAGGTTCGCTTTTCAAGACCTCTAACAAATTACTTTCAGTGTCTAGACCTCCGTTTTCCATATATGAAATGAGGTGACTGGACTAAATGGTCGTTAAAATCCTTTCTTAGCAATAACATCATTTGATTCTGCAATGTTAAAACTAACTCATGTTTCAGGATCCATCACTACCAGATTTTCTGGTTTATACACTGGACTACCCAAAGGGTAAAAAAGGATATACTATCCTCTATGGACATTAGCCTCACTTTCAAAATCAAAATAGGAGAGAGCAAGAATTCAAAACTGATTTACTTTGTTCCTTAATACTACCAAAAAAAAAAAAAAAAAACTCGTTGCCATCAAGTCATTGTTCCTTAATAGTAATTCATTAGTAGGCAATTTGATGGGAAATACAGCCTGATTTAACAAAATTAAGTTTTGTTTTTTTTTTTTTAATTCCTCAACTTATTTGTCTCAGCTAGACCCAAACTTCCTCAACCCAAGAGAAGAACTGCAGGGAAATCAAGAGTTGACGTATAAAGTCTGAAATGATGGCAGCTTAAAAAAATACTCATAGAAACACTAGCAGGAAAATACTCAGACATGACTGTCAAGTGCTATCAGAAGTAGGTCTTGACTGGTAACTTCTTAGGATTTGCATGAGTATATAAAATCAGAAATCAAAATCTAAAGTAGTTAATATCCTATTTTTTGTACATCTCATCCTTAATTCATTTAATTAAAACTAAAACTATGACCAAAAAAAGATGTTCAGACCACTCAACAAAACTGATGTTTATCTACACCAGGGAAAGCAAAGCCTGTCCCCCCTACCTGTGGCTTGGTCTCTTTTTCTGGCAAGAATCAAAGGTTTCCCCCTCCTGTTATTTATAAACATCTGTCCGAGATCTACAGATGATGTAGAAGATCCTTCCTGTTGTTTGTTAGTTCTCGGAGACACAGCAAACTCATCTGATCCCATCTTCTTTTTTCTTTTTTGTGCCTCTAGTGCCTGCTGTTTGGCATATATATACTCTAGCTTCTTCAGGACCACTTCTTCTGTCTTACCTGTAAGTTGACAGGAAGGAAATCATCACTCTCTACAGGACCCCACATAATAATGAGAAATAAAGTCAACTGAAATTCAGTTAATTTAACTACATCCCCAAAACTAGGGAAAGCAATGTCTTAGTCATCTAGTGCTGCTATAACAGAAATACCACAAGTGGATGGCTTTAACAAAGAGAAGTTTATTTCCTCACAGTAAAGTAGGCTAAGAGTCCACATTCAGGGCATCAGCTCCAGGGGAAGGCTTTCTCTCTCTGTCGGCTTTCTCATCAATCTTCCCCCGGACTAGGAGCTTCTCTGCGTAGGGACCCCAGGTCCAAGGGACGCACTCTGCTCCCAGCACTGCTTTCTTGGTGGTATGAGGTCCCCCCCCACCCCCCGCCCATCTCTCTGCTCACTTCTCTCTTCTATATCTCAACAGACTGCCTCAGGACACAGTCCAGTCTTGTAGGCTGAGTCCTGCCTTACTAACACAACTGCTGCCCATCCTCCCTCATTAACATCACAGAAGCAGGATTTACAACATACAGGAAAATCACTCAATACCGGGAATCATGGCCCAGCCAAATTGATCCACACATTTTTTGGGGGGACATAATTCAATCCATGATGGGCAAGAATGATTACAATCCAGAAGAAATGTTTCCCGCAATGAAAACATAACTCTGCTGTACACTGAGACCCAAGCCTTAAGCGAAACATCTGAAAGACCTAGTGAAGATTCCTCTTCAACAGAGCTGTTGTTATGCTCTCTCTACCAGATCATTCACCCATCTCACCTGAAAGAGACGATACCTTCCGTATCAAAATATTCCGTTTTCGAGTCAGAAGGTTCTTCTGTCCTATCAACTTGTCTGCCTGATCTGTCAGTCCCTGAATTTCACTGAATGCCTAGAATAGAAATAGTAATATCATGTCAATCACGTCACTCTTTCCTACAAACGGATGAGGCCTATACAATTTCTGCAATAAAAATACTTTAATATTTTAGAGACTTTTATAACATTTAAAACAATCTTTGTTGCTTCAGAAATTATTTTTTATTAAATTGCAGGAGGTTTTCTGACTTTATACTTTTAGGGAACACAGGTCATGATTATTTCCAAAGAGCACCATTCAGTAGTGACAAGTGTTCTGCTACTGGTAAGGAGATACAAAAGCATTTGTACTCTGCCTAGATTGTACTAATAAACTATAAAATCACCTCTCAGTCTAAGTAAAATCTGGACGAAACAGCTGTGGACTAGAGCGTGGTGAACGCTCACCCTGCACTCCATTCCTCCAACTCTGACTTGAACCAATTCAAATGAAATTTCCTTAAATATTCTACATGCAAAGTTCTGCTTGAAAATTTCATTAAAAATATCACTTCTCAAATTCACCACTATAAAGAAATTTTCTTTTATTTCTCTCGTTGATCACCACTGACTAGTTCATGCTTTTCGTCATTCTAAGAACACCAACAGGAGAATGTGATGAACACTATAGTTCCTGACTGCGTGATGATCTTCCTCCCTAAGGAATTTACCAGGCATTCACTAGTCTATGTTCAAATGTTAAGTACATGCAGCTCTACTTCCATCTCCCTCTAACAGCAAGGAATTCCCTTTCTCAAAGTATCTACAGAAGATTTTCTTGGTCAAGCTCTCGCTTGTCTGTCATTCACACAGAACACTTACCCGAGTGAGAATGAGACTTTTGGAAACCTTGGAAGAATGAAGTAATCCCAACGTGATCTTCAATTTCTCAAAGAGATCCCTCATTTCACCACGCCGCCTCCGCTCATTTGCAGTATGTGTCCGGCGATAATAAGCAAAAGCTTCTGCTTCCTTCTGTAGCTTTTCATTCCAGTAATCAGGCTTCAGTTTGAGAGGAATTGGTGGGGCCTGTCCAAACAAAAGATTGTCTCTGAACGTCTTTCACATCTACCCCCCTTCGCTATCCCAAACGGCACTGCTCTATTTCAGACATTCACCTTCTTCTGTCTGAACTCTTCCCAGAACCTCCCAACTGCTCATCTTATCACGTGTCTATCCTATCCTTCCTCCACGTCTAACCTCAAGGATGCCAACAGTGCAAATTATAATATGTGCTAATGTGATCGTATCACTTCACAGCTCAAATTTTAGAGGTTCTCTCAAACCAGGAAGAATTGGGAGGGGCCCTGAAAAAGCTTATTTGATATAATTTATTATTATTATTATTATGAAAAATCTGTCTTCAGGATACAAATCATATGAAAAAAAATCAACAAAATCCTGACTGGTGGAAAATAAGTAAAAAAAAACTTTTAATGCTGTAAGGCCCTTTGCAGTTTGGTAAAGGATTAACCGCCACTCTTCCTAAAGCACTTTTCTCGCCAACCATTTCTAACTGCTACCAAGTTCCCCAACACCACGCAATCCCACGGCTCCCTGCCACTGCACAGGCTGCTGCCTCCACCGGGGTCACTCAGCTCTCACCCTGTCCTCTACAACGCTTCTTCTTCATCAGTTAACTCAACGTTCTTGACCCTCAGAATGCCTTAGGCCTTCTTTCTCTATTTTATTTCATTTTTTAAAGTTCTTTCTTTAAAATAAGTTATAGATTCACATGGGTTTTAAATTACATTCTGCCCTGCATCTGTACCTAGCTCCTCCGAAACAACCACTTTTTGATTCTTTTAGCTGCTTCTTCTGGTTCTTAAATCTATATCCAAAATCAAAAATAGTAAAATAAGCTTATTCTTTAAAATTGTAGATGCCATCTATTCACTTTCTGCTGAGCAGAACAGGATTTAACTCACTCCACTCTCTTACCTCTCCCTACTCCCTCTTCCTAATATAGTTACAACAATAATTTTTGTTCTACTGATGGTGCCCTCTGCAATTTTAAGCAATATAATTCTACCTTAATTTCTCACCAAAGTAGTATCTCTTTGCTTTTCCACTTTGTAAGATGAGGATGTTAGCATGCATATCCTTCCCTTTATTTCTTCCCTCTTTTCCTTCCAATTTGTCATTTGTACTTACACATTTGTCAAAGCTGAAATTTAGTGTTCCATATTTTGTTTATAGGTTAGGAAAGTTTTTTTTTTTTTTTAAATCACTCACAGTGGCTACACTATTATGACACTGCAAACACCACTAATGGAAAGTGAATAACATTCGCATTTTCTATCTTTTATAGTTTCTTGGCTTTGTGTTTTTTCCGATGTTTCTTTCTTTTTCTTACATTGTTTGCCTTTATCACACCCTGTTAGCACCCCGAAACTCTTACATAAATTATTGTCTTTCTAAAGTTAAATCCATTGTGCGTTAAATAGGGCATTAAACAGTATGGGAGAGTAAAAGATGCTCCAAGATAGAAAGAAAATCACCACATTTAAATACAGCAAGACACTGTAAATAATTTGCATGCAATAATTAGGGTCAATAAAACCTAAATAAGTTATAAAGATTCTTGTTATATCTGAAAAACGTTTTAGGATGAATTTTTTAAAAAATACAATACAGTGATATATGCAAAATGATTACAACCATGCAGACATGTATCATATAATCCCCAAAACCAATCAGCCCGTGGTTTCTGGGAACACTCGAATATCACCCTCCTCCTCAACTCAAACCCCGTCATTGCTTTATCTCTTCACATCAGAGTAACAAGTGAAAAACGTTTTAAACAACCGAACTCTCTTCCATTCCTCGTGTTAGTAGGGATAAAAAGAAAACCTTGCTTAATTTTGTTGCCATGGTATATCATATACCTAATAACATTAATAGAATTAAAAAAGGTTTATAATTTCATGCCTCCTGGAATTGCTAGCCTTCATTAAAAACAGTAATTTATGTTTTAGGTCACGGAAAATCATGAGCCTAGGCAAGGAAGAATGCCAGCTCGTTTCACATCAAATCATTACATTACAGGATTAGTTTTCACATAAGCATATCAATTTTCGTAATCTCTATATCCATTTTAATTCCTTTAAATTATTCTATCATTTGGGGGGGAGTACTAGAATTAAGAGAGAGGGGAAAAAAAGCTGTAATAGTATAATTTCATTAAGGGGAAAAAAGCAGTTATAGTAATTCACTGGTAAAAAATAATCCTGAAAAAAATCATAGCTAGTGTTGTTTTAACCCTAAAGACAAATGTTAATCTATTGTAGTAAATGAGTAATTATCCATTAAATGTATTAGAAATACCTTTCGACTCCTTTCAGCAGCTTTTTCATCTGCAGAGACATGGGTATGACACCTACAAAAAAGACCATAACTTCCAATGTCTTACTGAAATTCAACAATCGAAGACCAATTTCACACCTGTATTAAACTGAATCATCCCCCTAAGATGTAGCCAGCTTCTTTCCCCTAAGATCCAATATACCAGTTGCCTTCAATTCGGTTCTGACTCATGGTGACCCCCTATGTGTATCAGAGTAGAACTGTGCTCCACAGGGTTTTCAAAGTCTGATTTTTCAGAAGTAGACCACCAGGCCTTTCTTCAGAGGCACCTTTGGGTGGACTTGAACCTCCAACTTTTCAGTTAGCAGTCAAATACATTACCCAGGGACTCCAAAATCCATTATATGACCATGTTATTTAGTCAACAATAAGAATTTTTTTTCCTCTAAGGAAAGTGTCCCAGTAATCCCTAAAAGTACAAATAACTTTTTTCAATCATGAAATATTTCAGACATACAAAACTGTATAGACAAATATATAATGAACACCCAGGTATCTACCATCCAGCTTGAGAAGAAAACATCCAAACACAGATGAGATCCTATGTGAAGACTACCCAACCACACTCCCTTCTTTCCTTCTCAAAGGTAAGCACTCCAGAATTGAGTTTACCATGGACATCTTTCACTTTTACTAGGAATGTATGATGTATCCCCTTAAACAAAAAATATTATTACTTAGCATTTTTAACATTATTTTACTATATGTTATCTTTCTGCAACTGATTTGTTTCACTCAGTATTACATCTCAGATACACTGATACATACAGTTCAGTCATTTTAACTCCTATATAGTATTCCACCATACGAATTGTCCAATATTTATTTTTTCCTAATATTAGCACTAATTTAAATTGTTTTCAGATTTTCACAATGACAAACAACTGCTGCAACAGACCGTCCCACACATGACCCCTTGGTACATAAGCATGAGCTGTCCTAGGTCATATACCTAGGAGTGGTATTGCTGGGTGCGAGAAAGGCATCTGCATCTTCAACTGCAGTAGATGTCAAACTGCTCCCCCAAAGTGGTTAGAACGAGGGCAGCAGGGGAGATTCCCAAGCTCCACATCTAGACGCCAGTACTATCAAAAACATCTCAAATTCTGCCAATCTTATGAGTGTGAAGTGGTAAAGTCATTACAGTTTTAATTTGTATTTCCCTAATTACTTGAGAGCCTGGACATCTCTGCGTGTGTTTACTGGCTGTTCACGTTTCCACCTGGGTGAACTGTCTTGATAACCATTACATACTCTTCCCCTAGATCGTCTTTTTATTGATTTGTAAATTTTTTTAATATGTTTATAGTAATAGTAATCCTTTGTCAATTACACGTATTGTAAATACTTTCCTCACAGTCTGAGCTTGTCTTTTCACTGTTTCCCTGGTGCTCTGATAGACAGAGATTTTTAATTCTGAACAATCTGTTCGTTTCCAGTTGTGCTCTTTGTGTTTGCTATCCTTGGACCTTTATTGTTCCGGTCAATTACATGCCATCTCTCCATTTATTGAGCCCTTCTCCCATGGTTTTCAATAAAATTTTACAGAGGTCTTACATAGTTTTTATTAGATTATTTTTAGACAGTTTTTCCCTCTTATTATTGTAAATGATTTTTTTTTAGATTACATTTTCAGCTTGTTGCTATAGTTTGCAACTCAATTTTAGTATGTTGTTGTTGTGTGCATTTGAGTCAATTCTGACTCATAGTGACGCTACAGGACACCGCAGAACTGCCTCATGTGGTTTCCTAGGCTGTAATCTTTATGGGAGCAGATTGCCAGGTCTTTTCTCCTGCAGAGCTGCTGGTGGGTTCGAACTGCCAACCTTCAGGTTAGCACTTAACCACTGCACGACCAGGGCTGCTTCAATTTCAGTATACTTAACTTATATCCAACAATACTGCTGACCTTACTAAGTCTAATAAAGTTTTTAAGGGAGTTAAACTCTTTCAAGCTTAACCAGTGTGCTGACAGTTCTGGAGGTAGAGAACTACTAGTCCTATTTCCCACTCTTTAGACCTTCTCAGCATCCGTCAGGATGAAGAATTACCTTCTCAACTCATTGCTACTTTATATGGTGATTATGAAGTGACAGGAAAAGCACACTGTCTGGCACAAAAGAAGAATCTGTACCATCCTTCACTTCTCTCTTTTACATCCAATCCCTAATCAGTACAAGAAACAGGAAGTGGAATAAACTGCCCTGAGCAAATCCTCATACCCTCTGTATTTTCATCTCCTCGGCTAAACAGCAGGAAAATTGTCCTACCTATCTCTCACCTATTCAACCAGGAATCAAGTTTAGATTTAATGACTTACCCTTAAAAGATACGTATTTTGTCGTCTTCTTTTTTTTTTTTTTTTGAGTAGCCCACTTGTGTTAGTTATTATGCCAGCTGTGCACATTATTTTATTTAGCACTCAAATGGGAGTACTGTCCTCATTTCATAGGCAAAGAATCTGAGGCTCAGAGAGATTTAAGACTTGTCTGAGGTTAAACAATAACAAATTAGCAAAGCTAGCATTTTAACCCCAGTGTCTCAGGTTCCAGAAGCATTTGTTATTCTCACTTGCACACTGCTTCCTAACAATAACCAAGGGAAGTCGATTACTTCTTGAATTCCAGTTCCTCTCCCCATCTACTAATCAGAAAGAAGCTAGCAGAATAAATGAACGAGGTCAGTTACCCAGAGTTCCTAAAGAGAACATTTAGCTTTGTTTCTGGCTTTAAAAAAAAAAAAAATCAAAAGAGAAATAAAACTTACGGCTGTTTGGAAGACAGTAAACGGGCAGCTGCGGTCTTCATGTGGACAATAATTTCCTCTGAGAAGTCTTCCACAGTCTCAATGTCTACCTGCTCTTCGTCATCCTCAAGGTAGTCTACACAGTGATTCTGAAATAAATCATTACAACAGTAAATAACGTATAGGGAAGCAAGCAAATCTAAATGTTTCAACTGAACGCACCCCTTATAAAACCAACCAGTGCAAACACTGATCTTGTAACAGGAATACTGATAATCCTAAACTTGTTAGTCATAAGAAGGAATTAAGTCAGAAGGACAACATCTGATTAGAGTTAAGAACCAGGAACTACATTATAAGTCACAGATATATATTAACCAGAGATCACTGAGGCCGAACAGAGTCCCCAAAGAGCTGCACTGATGCTTTAGTGTCATTTCTAATGGACAAAATTCAGGTATGAAAATACTAAGGGTGCATGAATCTTAAAATCAAATGGCAGTAAAATAAAATTTGGTGAGGGGGGAAAGGCGGGAAGGAGAAAAAATTTCGGTTCTATTTTAAGGGCACTTCACGGCTAACACCATATCAGACACCCACAAATCAACATATGTTAACATATTCAAGACAGATATGGAAACGAAAGTCTTCTAAATCTCTAAATCCCACAGAATGAGAGCTTTTGAAGAAATTTCAGATTTCAAAAGCAGCCCAGGTTTGCTATACTTATTATACCAAAAAAGAAGTCAATCAGTAAGCATTTATTGAGCGCCTGTCACAGACAATCGCTGAATATTTTATGTAAACAGTAAGAATTATACTGATGTATGGGGTATGCAGATATTTTTAAGTCCATCTTTAAACGCAGTGTTTACTATGCCAGAAACGAAACAGGGAATACGTTACCTATAATCCTACTACTATACCAGAGAGGTACAACTCACAATGAAGCATCTCAGTCAATCGTCTTATTAATTCTATGTTTAAGCTTGTTGGAAAAATTACTTACCCCTGAATTAAAGGCTCCATAAGGCAGACAGACACTAAATGCATGCCACCGAGCTACTGAACCCTAGCTTCCTGGATTATGCTTCTCTTCCCCACCCCAATTTAAGCGCTTTACTTCTATACAGTCACCAAGACCCAATGACCCAAACAGGTACAAATACATTCTAAAGATCATGTTCTCTGACTATCCTTTTATACCCCAGCCATAAAACAGCTCTCTTATATAACTGTCTTATCTACCAGTCTTGGACGTATTTCATAAATTCAAGATAATCCAGGTAACAGTCTCCAGAGTAATGGCAAAACATGCATTAAAACAATGTATATTAAAATCAACTTAGAAAGCTGAATCAACACAGAGTCCCAACAGAATCTAAAAGCAAAGAGTCTGAATAGTAATAGAAGCAGATGCTATACAGTATTTAAGCTGAAGAATGTTTGCCGACTGCACGCTTTTCCCTGCAGGCTTTGTAAATACCATCCACTAACCTTCACAACAGAAGATTTAAATGAAGAAGACTACTTCCAACTTTCTTCAAGCATAAAGATATCATAAGCGTGGGGCACATATACAAATACAATGTAAAATTGAGATTTTAGAGATCGTTTAATACAATGCCCTTACTTTAAAAAATGGCAGTGTATTTTGTTTGTCAGATTCCCCATTAGGACAGTCAAGCAAAGCTACACTGTATGATTAAGACACTCTTAAGGTTCTAGTCAGTCAGTGCCATTAACAGCAATAATTTTCACTGGTTTTAAAGTTGGAATATTTTTGGTCTAACAGTTACCCAAGACAACTTACAAAGGGAGGCTACAACAGAGTAACTTCTACACTTAATGAATTAAGCAAATTCTTCGACTATGTACAAAATATCTGTCCTTGGAAAGTATTAGGCTACAGAGAGTGTGTAAGGCCAATGCATACTGAATCATTTTCAATTTTAAAGCCAGATTCTCACTTTATGAGACAACTGAGGAAGAAAAATAACCAACACAGGAACGTGAAAATACTTAAACATTTTAGAATTCTAAAATACTAATCTTTATGTTATGTTTTATCTGCATAAGGCAGTTAAGCATTAACAGATGAGGACCAAATAACAGAGAAGCCAAATGAACCTTAAGGAATTGAGATCCTAAAACAAGCAGCGGCGTGACAATCTATGCAGAGGGCTGTATTATTTGCTCCTAAAGACCAGCACACGGTTTAGATTTAAGGGCAACCCACTAAGTAGCTGGTTATGGTCTCCCTATGTTTTACATTAGACCCTACACCAAGAGTTTGCAAACTATAGCCTGCTGCCTGCTATTGTAAATAAAGTTTTATTGGAACACAGCCATGCTCACTCACTCATATATTATCTACAGCTGCTTTCATGCCACACAAGCAACTGAATAGTTGCAACATTGATCCATGTGTCTGCAAAGTCCAAAATATTTACTATCTGGCCCTTTACAGAAAAAGTTTGCCCAACTCCTGCCCTATATCATACCTGGCCCTCAGTTACTTATTCAGTATATAAAACCCTAAATGGGACACCTAGGAAAACAGCTTCAGAAAAATTAAAACAAAAAAACCCCCTAAGGGTCATATTACAAAGGAAGATGACCAAGTTTAGAATATAAAAGTCTAAGGATTGAATGTTAAATATGTAAGATAATTAGAAAGCAACTCATGGCAGGATTGTATTAAAATATTTGACAGTATTTTCCAGTTTTCCTCCAAAAAGAAAAACTTCTCTCTAAATACAGTAAGTCCTCCTTCAGTTCTAAAGTCACCCATTCTCTATTTAATACATCTATCAGATAAGCTATAATCACCTGTCATAGAAAATGCCACAGAAACTGACTCAGGTCAAAATGGGGGTACGGGTTTCAGGGTTTCTTTGTTTAAATCCTACTTGACAGGGAATCTCAAGCACTATCCCCCAAAGGCTTAAGCCAGCCTACCCATATCATCAGACAAGTCTCAAAATATAATACAAGCTCAATAAATGTTGCCTGACTGACACAGCCTAAAAACTACAAAGTCATTTAATCATGATTTAAACCTAGGCATTTAAACCTAGGATTGAACATATTAGTTCTTAGCGATCTTCTGGAAAAGCTACTTCTAACAAATCCCTTAAATCCTTGAGTTTCAGTCACAACAAAAACGAGCTCACCACCTTTTCTACATCATCAACCTCCTCACTCTGGTAGTCAGAAACAACATCCACAATCTCATCAATAGAATCATCGGTTTTCTCATTCTCCTCTTCCTCATCCTCCTCTTCCAAATCCAACACAGTGAAGTCAGTACTGCTTCTCCCACCCTTCTTCTCTTGCTTTGGTTGTAGGTGCTCTCCTGGTAGCAGTAAGTGACCCTGAAAATGTCCACCATCCCCTCTGCTGCCTTTTGTAGCTCGCCTCGGAACAATGGAAAAGGCTGTAGGATCAGAAATCCTACTCCAAGAATCACATTCAGTTTTTAAAACTCTGGAATCCTCAGTAGTTCCACTTTTCCCAAGCAAATCAGAGGTGCCTTGCTCTTGTTGAAACGCATTTGAATTTTCCTGACATGTCTTTGTTTCTTTAATTAACTGGTCATCTGCCTCTTTCTTACATTCTGGTGAAACTGCAACACATTTCCGGGTCAAAGGGCCCTTCAGGTGCTTTCTCCATCTCTCTCTAATACTGTCCTTCTCCACAGAGTTTCCACATCCCTTCTCCTTGGCCTCTGGTTGTGGATGAAACTGCTGCTCCACAACCTTGCTCCCTGATAATTCAAGTTTACTTTCTTCCTTAGAGAGGATTAGAAATTCACTGGATTTTTCCTCTGGACTGTCTAGTATGTTCTGCTGTTCCACCTTCACACCACCGAGTTTTTTAAGCTGTGTATTACTTTCACTTTGGGCTGTCATACTACTGGCTTTTTCAGAAATGGTCTTAGCTTCTAGAACAGTCTGTTTTTCTTTGGAACTGTTATGATTTCTAGGCCCGCACTCTTCACTGACATCCCTATAGTCTTCATCTGGGTGTGACCCAGTGATACAGGAGTGCTCAGAAGGCGCGGCAGCTGTCGAATCTTCTTCTGTAACAGATTCTTCATCAAAATGATCACCCCCATCTTCCAAGGGATTATTCAGGGTTTCTTCTGAGGCAGTAGTTCCTGGGTTTTGGCTTACTGTATTAGCCTCAGGGTCGATAGCATCTTCTTCTGACTGCACAGCCTTCTTAGTTTCCTGGTCTCTTAAAGAGCTTGTTTCGTTTTTCTGATCTGCATTCTGGGATTCTCTCTTCATCTGCAGGGAAGCAACATGTTGAAGAATGGAGCTGGGAACGGGTTTTTGTCCTGGGAGCTGCAACAAGGCAAAACTGCCAGACTGGAGAGGAATAAGACTGGCTGTACCAACAGGCTGCCCTCCTGAGCTGTAGGTTATTTTGGTTTCAGAGCCTGTTTTACTTGCAAAGCTTTGTGGTTCAGGAGGGGAAATCCTCAGGGTCAAAGTACCAGCCTGAGACACAAAGCTAGATCCAGAGGAAAGCAATGACGGTGCCTGAGTGATAACATTCACCGCTGGAGAAGACCCGACAGCCTGAATCACTGGGTTCACAACAGAGAAAGCAGACGACGAAGCGGAAGATGGTGGCGTCTCAGAAGGTTTGGAAGGAGCAGGTAGCCGGATTCCCACCACAGACCCTGGTAAGAAAAAGAAAATTTTCAATCACCATTGCCCATATCAAGACTTCCACAGCATGCTTTTCTTTGTGGACAGGTAACTAAGAGATTAAGATGACCAATCCTGGTGTATTAACATACCACATAGCATACCACCAACTGTTTCTACAAAAGACCAACTCATTAGAAAGATCGCCAACTTTATACCTGGGCTCCGAAACATGACAGGCTGTAAGCTGGGCTGGGTATTAGAGCCTCGAAGCTGATGCAGAGGGAGAAGCTGGACAATCTGCCCATTAGGGTGCCTGAACAGGTTCATTCCACTCGGGCTCCTAACAGGCTGCAAGACCATCCGCTGTCCCTGAAGCTGTGTGTTTGGGACAGGTCTAAGGGTAGGAGAGCCCTGCTGCACTGGAATCAACAATAATCGAGGTCCAGTACGTTTCAGTGTGTTAGGAGACACCTGTGGAGCAGCCACTGGAATCTGAGGGGCATTTTCTGAAAAACAGGAAATGGAAACATGGTATCAGAATTCTCTTTTTTACACATGTAGGAAAAAAAACTAGTATGACATAGGATATGACCATGCTGCAGGTAACTTCAAACTTGAATTACAAAGTTGGGGAAATCTTTTACCTCTATGATACACTATTTAACAGTCCAATGGCTGAGAACAATTTATTTTAAACCTAAGTGATTAACCAGAGTTTGCAGGGTTTTACATTTAGAATGGTAAAATTTAAAAAAGCATCAATTGTCAAGAGATACATTTTTAATGGGATAATGCTTCTGCCTAATGAAAACCATGGGCAGGCCTCTAAATCTGTATTCTCATTAAGGTTACAGAGATCATTTTTATGATAAAATTATCTTCTTCAATTTTAAATTGAATGGCTAGTAACACTAGACTTCCACTCAAGTAAGATAAGTTCAAGGACTAAAATCATGTATAAAAAGTTTCTTGGATTTTAAAATTCACTGATGAATAAGCAAAGTTTAAAGATTTGTAGAAATGATTTTGCAGAAGAAAAAAAAAATACATACCCCCCTAAAACGGAATGAAATTAAGAGACATCAAAGAAGCTGGGAAATAAAGCCTGGTCAGGAAAAGGCAAAAGATAATTTTAAAACAAACAGAAAAAGCAGAAATTTAATGCAGAAGATGTGAATTAAAAGATTTCAAAATATTAATAATACCTGAAGATGCACTTTAATATTTGGAAGAGATATTTAGAAATACTAAAGACATAGGAAAAAATACGAGTAATTCACAGATTTTTTTTGGTCATGGGAATAAGGAGGTAGAAATAATGTCAATAAGCATAAACGAAGACGGTCTAACACCATCATTCAAATTGGTGAGCTCACTTAACAATGTTTATAAACAAAAACTTTCCATTAGTTTGTCACCAAAGAGAAAAATCAACAAAACCAACCAAACAAGAAAGTTCAGCTTAACGTGTGATTTCCTATGAGACAGGCACTGTGCCCACAAAACACACCAAATTTCTAAAAGAAAGTCATGTTCATAACATTTAGATAACAAAGAACTTATATACAGAAGACCCAGGGATACTTTTGAAAATGAAATAAAACACAAAGACGAAACTGTTTGTAAACAAAAACAGTGTATGATTTAAATAACAATAAAAATCTATCGTATGTGAATTAAGAAACATGCTAACTTTTCTCTTCAAATTAAACTGTACTGAGTGATTCGAAATTAAATTATTCCAATTCTAAGAATGAAAGCAGACTCTAATATACACACTAAATATACATGTGATTGTTTATTAAACGTGGAAGAGGGGAAGGAGGTGAAAGAGAAAAAGTAGGGAAATTTAATGAAAAAGTCACAGATGCTTAAGTCCCTGAGTTGGGATCTTCGTAAACTGCGAACAAAATTACACAGGCTTCCTTAGAAGTAGCAGTTATCGGACTCAGCTCCATTTATAAAAGCAGGTAAGAAAACTTGCTAACAACACTAATATTTCCTAAAATGGTACAGTACAAGATAATTTTAGGCAGTACATGGACACAGACTAACACTACATCTATAATGGAAAGGAATTTCCTTTTCAATTTTGATCTTTTTAATACATACAGGAGAAAGTATCAGTCTGTGACATTATGTCTTTAAATAACACGTCCAGCATTTTCTAGTTTTCTTCATTAACTGAAAGAAAGCAAGTCACATGCCAAGAACACATACTATAGCTAGAATTTAATAATATTGGTATGTTTCCAGTGTGTTTATTTATGGGGTTAACTTCTATTTTGGTAAGTAATACTGGTTTCCATTTAAAGTAATGTTTTTAAAAATATATTTAAGTAAACAAATGAGTTGATTTCAATAAAAATATTAAGTGAATGACAGTATAGCTGAGACTCAAAGCAAAATACTTGAATGTATATTCTGACTAAATCTGAGAAACAACGAACTACAAAAATCTAAACTATAGTTTCATGGCAGAATTAAGAGTATAAGAAAGGTTGGAATCCATATGGTTTACAACAGTCAAAATATGACAGATTCAATAGGAAATTGAAGCCATTTCACCAACCGTTTCACTTTACTACCAAAACTTTAAAATACACTAATCATTTCTTACGTATTTATTTATGGGGAGACGCAAAAGACAAACAACCTTAATACTGTGAATCACCTTTCCTTTCAAAAGAACGTCAAGTTATAAACTAATTCCCGAATCACTCCTTTACTAAAAGACCTATGGGGATTTGAACCATGTCACTAAATGCAAAAATATTTAGTAGGAAAAATACCAATAACCAAAACAGTTGCTGTAGGGTATTTATTTTTCCTTCAATTCTCCAGAGCCTTACACTTTTTCCACATTAATTCCACTGAGTGGACCAAGAGAACCACTTACTTTACTTAGCCGCATTAGGGTATAAAATTAGCAAAATGTAGGCTATTCCTGTTTCAAATTCATTTCACCTAAGCCAACAAGAGAAAAAATTTAATTTTAACTAAAAAGTTCATAAACATATATAAAATATTCTAGTCCTAAACAATGAAATATGCTCCCTTATTTCTATTTCAATCAGCTCACGTATAATAACTAAATAGGGGAATTATGTCAGTTTTACACGGGAGCTGTGCTGATTCACACGTGCATTTTACAAGGCAAAAGGCACTAAACTGGCAGGAGAATTTTAATCTTCAGGAAGAAAGAGAAAAGCTTTCAGCTTGGCTGCAGCACAGGTCATCTCTTTTTTAATTAAAAAGCAAAAAAAAAAAAAAACCAGAGAAGCACCCGCATTCCTGCATTTGGGGTTCCCTCCCCATAGATGGGCACCCCTAGCTGCGTGCAGTGTGCCAGCTCTCAGCACGTGACAGGCTGCACCTCCCCCCAGCCCACCTTAGCAACTACTCTATCACTCAGAGCTCTACTCCCATCAGCGTTCTCTCACTATCCTCAGCCAACATTTCCATTCTAATGTTCTGCAGTGTTTTAATACCTCCTGAGGCAACCTCTGGCCCTGCTAAAGTATCTGTCACAGCTGTTCGAGTTACCTCCCAAGGTACCAGTTATTGTTTGTGTGAGTGCTCTGGTTACAAAGTTGCATAGATTTTCAGTGATTTGTCCTACTCTATACTAACTAGGAGTCCTACTATCTTTAGTGTTCATTTTTGCAAAACACAAAGGTTTTCAGGAATATATCATGTTACAGCAGAAACACCTACACTATTACCCTGTATTACCCTGCTATATCTATAATCCTATCACAACCACAAAGTTATATAAATAGCTATACAGTAAAGCAGCTAATAACATCTAGGCCTTACCTGGTCTCTGGCTCACTGGTGGACTCCCATTAATTCCCGAGAGTATAATAGGAACAGAGCCCAGAGATGAAGTTGGTGTGGTCACCATGGAGGAAGATGCAGCTGTGGTCACCACGACTATGGAGGTGGAGGCAGTGGAAGCAACAGGAAGAGTTATGGTTGGAGAAGATGCTACCAAAGACTTAGGAAAAGCAATTGAAGCCACAGGGGGAGCTATCCCCGTAGTTTTGGTAAGGTTCACAGTGGCTGTAGACTGGGTAGGTGTTATAGGGGTCCTGGTATTAGTTTCAGAGACCTCAACAGCCCCTGCAGTGGTGGCACCAGAAGAGTAAGTAGTTTCTTTATCTTTAGTTCCCATGTCAGAAATAGCAGTCATAGGTGTCACAGAAGTAACGTTTTCTAAAAACACTTGAGGGGTGGTAGTAGTGACAGCAGCAGTCACAGGGCTGCACACCTGAACTGGCTCAGAAGAAACCACAGGTGTGACGACCATTACTGGAGAAGGTCTGATACTGAACTTCTGTGGCCCTGTCAGGGGTTGGGGTGTGCTAACTCCAGGTATCTTCTGCTGTAGGGCTCCAACTTTACTCATCACAAACTGTGTGAACACACCACCAGGAGAGGGTCGAGCCGCTGCAAATAAAAATTTGCAGGTCAAAAATCTTCAGTTCTCATATTTTATTCTCTTAGTGAATGTGTTTATCAACATTTATTGTGCACCACTGGGTCAATTTCTTACAGGCACTAGCTACCTGCATTATGTGTGCCAACTTCCACCCACAGAAATCAAACACTTCCCTCAACCCAAACCAAACCCTTATTAATTCTAACAAGAAAGGGATTAAAATGGGTGTTCTTACTAAAATTCTTTTGGCTATGCAATATATTCAAATTGCTAGGACACTAAAAAGACAATATATAGCAGCAAGCAACTTCATCACCTAAAACAGATGAAAGAAAGTAAAAAGGAGATTTTTTTCCCTAAGGCTCATTTTTAAATTTGTTTCCACCACTTCCTCCTGCCCCAGCACCTCCACCTCTTTATTACTGTCCTCTCATGAGACAGTTAAGCTTTGCACTTTCCTAAAACATATACATTTTTTAAGAGAGAGGAGGATAGGAATGCTTTATTTAAAAAAAAAAAAAAAAACACCAGTTAAAGATGCTTAAAAAATAAAGTAAAATAGGTTCTTTTTCAGGCATACAGCTCCTATCCTTGATCTTCATACAACTCCAGCTTTCAGCCAGAGATTTCAATTTTCTATTAGAGGAGTAAGAATCCAGCAATTTGCACCTGTACTTAACATTCCTATATAGATTTGAAACAACAAAAAGAAGAGTTCAATAAACCAACTGTAAAGACACTCTCAATGCTAAAACACAAATACTTCAAAGAGGTAATTTGTTACACACTCTAGTACTGAAATGTTAAGGAAAAGAAAGAGGTTTTCATTTACAGATCAGGGATGAACAGAATAAAGCAATGTTGCCAAAATTCTGTTTTACAAGAGCCTTCTACTTTAAGCCTACACTAAGTCAGCGCACTCTGATTTTGCTAGCTCCTTGGTTTCCTAAGTTCAAGGAACATACACATGCCTGGTGCCAAAACACCAGTCCTCATAGCAAAACACTAAACTAGATAAAGTATCTGGAATATAATATTTCTTCCCTTTTTAAAAACAAAATTAAAAACCTAAGTCTTTCCTGCACTGATAAAACCAGTCTAAAAGCCTGGAAATTAACAACTGTAAAACTAAGTAGAATTCAACTTATCTAGTATTGTAGGTCATTAAAGGTGTTACAAAAAAATAAAAAACTTTGATACCAAGAATAATGCCAAACTCTGTATTTGTCTAATTTCTATACCTGTACTCACTGACCCAGTACCAAGTTACAGGCCTTCCCAAAACATATGGACACTCCAACTTACCAATTGGCCTTTTTGCTGGGACAAACGCCTTCAGATTCTTCCCAGGGCGATTTGATGTAGTGCTCGAGGAGGATGTCGTTTTGGAAGTGGATGTTGAAGGCAACAGGGTGCGTGGTTTCCTGGATGCAGCCACGTTGGCATTGGATGCTACCTTGGAGATGACAGTACTGAGGGTTGAGAGGTCCAGGACTGAGGGTCGCAACCTGCCTGTGATATAAGCAGCTAGCCTATTGGCTGGATGCAATGCCCCCATCTGTCCCAATAGCAACTTAGCCTGCGGGTAACTCTTACCATTAACCTGAAACAAGTGGCAAAGAGAAATTCTGTAAAGATAAAATTCTCTTGCTAACTCCTCTCCCTTGACAGGGGTTTCTTTTATTTTTACAAGGTTTCAAGAGTCTATTTTTTAGATTTAAAAGGGAAAAAGAAATAAACTTTTTCCATTCAGGATAATCTGAATAATCAGGAGATGAAAAAAAAAAATGCTGCCAGCTAATATTCTAAACTTATCTCATCTTCATTTAGATAGTTTGGGCACAGAGAATCTTAGAAATGTATCATTTCTGCATCACAGATATGTGAAAGATGCCATTAGCTCTAAAGAACCACCCAAGTGTTTTGTCAAAGAGCAATTCTGGTTAAGCTATTAACAATCATCAGCAAACATGAAGAACTGTGTTCCACAGACTCTCTCTGGCAAGACCAGAGACACCTAATGAAGCCCTCTCAAAAGAAGTCCTTTCAAGCACTCTTCATATTTGAAAAATATATGATGAATCCGGTTTAAGTTCTAAGACAACCACTGTTATAATAACCTAAGCAACAAGGTCAACTGGTTTTCAATTTTCAAAAGACTTGACTTAGAAGATATTGTCTTCATCTCTTGGGAAGATTCTGGGCTTGAGATAAACACTAGTAGGAATGCACTCTAACTCTAAGCGTAGTCTCTTGTCAGAAGACAAGCAACCAACCAACGAGGTGAGGATTGTCTCTACTGGCTGAGGCGACTAGACTGCCTATCCTGGACAGCAGCACGCTTTTTTAAAAAACTACTGAAGTTTTTCACTCATGTTCTCTAGGGTCATACTGCTGAGTAATTAGATAAGACATACTTTTCTGTGCCTTCTCTTCATCATTTAAAAGGGGAGGGGGATGGACTAAGGTATAGAAAAAATTCCTACTCTCTAAATTAATAAGGAATTGATGAGAAAAATAGCCACAGCAAGCCACTTCATCTTCAGAGACATGAGACAAAATTACTCTTTGCTACTTAAGCAAAATTATGATTACTCCTGGAAAGATCAGGGATAGCTTTGCCTCGAGTTTGACATAACGAATGAGACCTTTCCATCCTAGAGTAAACTTCCGGTAGTTTTTCCAGCTATCCGAAGTCTAGCTCAAATATCCTGACCTGCTCCTTTGGGACCTACTCTCCTGACTGCCCAGCGGCTTCCCCAGTCTGTACTACAGTGGCCTGACTGTGTATGCAAGTTCCCGTTCTATGGCAGCTCTGTGAGTCCTCGGCAGGACAGGAGAACACAAAATTTCTATGCCTGTACTTCAGGGGATCTGATCTCACTATGCGTGATCTCAGAAAGTCTCCGTTTTCAAAGCACCAATCAATAAATGGGTTAAGGCAGAAAGCATGGCTCTCCTCATCATTAAGAGTTTAAGAAATACCAATAAAGGTTACCAGATAGCACCAGCTATGTTATCAGTCATATTATTAACGGAGAAATAAATCTTAACTTGGAGAAGTAGTCAACCTAACAGTCAAGTGACCTTCACAATAATGTCAGATACTTCTACACATGTGCTACCCTGATACAAAAACTGCATTTAACACTACGGGGGAAAAGGAGAACACCTTTTGGACTGTGACTTACAGTTCAACTCAGGAACTTCTCCTTCCAAATGACCTTCTAGATGTCAGTGTAATTTCACTAATATAATCTGCCTAAATTACTAAGCAGCAATGACAGACCTATTTGTCCCAAAGCAATGATTATGCTGGCAAAAACCATATAAATCAAATAAAGGAAAAATAATTAAGAAAATCAGAAATTGTTAAGAGAATTTTAAAATCTCATCTATTTAAGTAACACCTTATTCAATTAAAAATTTTCCCAAGTTTCAAACATGTAATGCCTCTCTTAAAGTCAATTTCACCTTCCCTTTACTACCTATACCTAACATCCTATATACGGATTTAGAAAACACTAAAGCTGTCTACCAATGATAAATTCCAAGAACTAGACTAAACCCCGAACTACCCTTGCTTAGTTGTCAAAGTATCACCAGGGCCAGGCATAAAGTTTAAGAAGAGCAACTTTCTGGGAAGACTACAGAGAAAATTATAAGCTAATATGGGGCTCCACATGATATAAAGCCCACAAGGGGCTCTGAAATCTAAAAATGTTACCTAAGTATAAAAAGATGCTATACCCAGATTAAAGATAATTCTCACCTGGATAAGCCCAGATGTGCTTGAACTGGGTTTACGTTTATAGGCCACAAGCTTCCCTGCAGGAGAAAGCCCTGCATAAAAAGGCAGACCTTTGCCTCCATGCAATCTTTCCCTCACTGAATCCAAGGCATCTGTCTGCATAGAAGTGAGATCATCCATTTTCCCAAGGGATAATGGACCATCAGGAGTCTCTGATTCAGATTTCTCAGCCATATCATCTTGGTCTTGACATGATGGCATAGAGATTTTCACACGAGAAGAATAAACAGGAGGGTTCTTCTCGCCCCGGCTCTTTCGCTGAGAAGCCAACTCAATGATGAAGCTGCCCACCTTAAGTGACTGTGGCATGTTGCTATTGATGTGCTGGGATAAGATGCTCAAAATCTTGTTCCGATCCTCCTCCCAGTTGCAGTCTGAGATGATTTCTATCAGTTTGGTGGGACCACCAGGTGACCTCTGATGCACATAGGAGGTAGAAGACGATTCCCCCTCATTGCAGGAAGACTTCCAGCTCTTTTCTAATAAAAAATTGAAAGATATTTCTGCATCACAGTATTGTAATAAGCTCTGAAAGATTTTTATTTTTCCTCAGTCCTCAGAAAAGTGCCAGGGGCAAAAAAATTCAACAGTTACTCTGTCTCATTCCCATGTACTTTCGGTGATAGTCCAATACATAGCTTAACACTCCCAATTCGGGGGTTTTCCAGGAAGAAGAAAGATCCTAGAGAATCAGACTACATTAGTACTCACAATCCTGCTGACTGGGCTCTGTAGTAAAAAAGGAGTGGGGTCTCTCAAGACTGCTCTAAAATAAAGTGTTATGTTGCAAACAAAGCATGACCAAGGTTAAGCTTGTTTGGTACAGCTTAGTATTCTGCTATCCACATATGCAGAGCAAAGATACCACAAGATGCTCTGTAATGCATGAACGGTAGAGGCAACCCTACTAAAGAACAATAAGAGAGTGTTCTGGTTTAACTAAAAAGAAAGTGCACTGTACCCTAGTTTCTACAGCAAATACTTCTGAAATACTTAATGTGCCTCTAGATATGATTGCTCAATTTCTTCCATGTGTACCGATCACTCACCATACAAGTACATTTACATTCACGGCAACATGTTAACTAGATATATATTTCACTACCTGTTATCATTGATTCTGACTCATAGCGACCCTACAGGACAGAGCAGAAATGTCTCATAGGGGTCCCAAGGCTGTAATTTTTACAGAAGCAGACTGCCGTATCTTCCTCCTGTGGAGTGGCTGGTGGGTTAGAACACTGACCTTATGGTTAACAGCCAAGTGTGCTTAACCACTGCACCACCACAGCTCCAAATATACTTCACTAGACACTTAGATTTCTATAGCAAGCTTCCGACCAATGTGCTATAATTACAGGTATGCCAAGATACAGACCCCGTCAGCCCTCAGGCGTCAGCCCTTGAGGACGATCCTGCTCTCAGGCAGGTTCCCTCCATCCTAGCAGTCTCGCTTCACTTAGCTCAGTGTGTTACAGAATCATCATTTTCCATGTATACCATGACATTAAAAAAAGTTAGGAAGCACTGTTGCTGAGGTGTCAGAAGTCTTAAGAAGCCAACCAAAAACAAACAGGTAACTCCCTGGTCGCTCACTACCTCTCATCATAGTAACTCTGGCAGCAGTCTGCTAGATAAACCAGTGATATTCCTTTCTCGCTCTCCATTTCTCCAATGGTGGCAGCTACTAAAACCTGAAGCAAAATTACAATAAGCGCCAATGCCAACATCGCCAGGGTTTGGAAAGAGGTTAAGAAAAAAATCACTGACTTATCTTAAATGTCTCTTGCAACAACATACCATATCAACAAGACTGAATTTTCTTTTATTTTTCAGAACAGGCGTGTTAAATAGACCAAGGAATGGGAAAACACTTTTACCTATTGTCTGTTTTTAGTAGAAGTTAGAAACAGGGTACATAAACATATTCTGATTGACAGTTTGGGTTTTCCTTCAGTGTTATTATAATCTGGACCTACATGAATACTATCAAATTATAAAATCAAGCTTTCATTCTGACCTTGTGATTTATCAGAATCATTCTCCGGGTCACAGGTGACTTGTTTCAAGGGCTGCTGCTCAGAATCAGGTTCCTAAAGAAGAGAATGACACAGGAACATTTCAACATAGATTTTATATCTATAGAGACTTGGACATAAGCATTAAATTTCTCAAAGAAGCTTAAGTCATTCGAACGACTAAGAAGTCAACAACTTCACATTTGCACGCACAGCTGCACTGCTATCATATTATACAGCCCTGGTCAAAAACAAGTAGTCTTGTTTGCTGATGTTCTTAATAGTGACTGAGTCACCAAGAAAAGGATTTACACTGGATCTTACAGTGTATTCTAGTAAGGAAGGCAAAATGTCTGATGTTTAACAGGACAAGCTTCAGTTAATTAGAAAATTCACCAATGTGGAAAGATGCAAACCCTAATAATTACAGATAACTGATTGCCTTCGCTACTCCACCAGACTCTAAATTATTTGAGAGTACAATGCAAATTCTAATACCAGCAACAGGCAACTGGAAGGTAAAGAGAGAAACTATGCAACAAGCAATTCACCTTTGCACTACGGTTCTCAGGACTAGAATGGCATGAGCTCTGCTGCTGAAATAATGGGGATGGGGATGGGGATGGGGATGGTTGTCTCCGGTCTTCCTTTTTTCGTTCATACACTCGAACTCGGGCACAAGTCATCATACTTTCGAAGTACAAGTAGACTGGATCTTTGTCCTCTTCCCGAATCTGTAAGTTTCATACAACAAAACATTCTATACATTGGGAAGACTCTCCTAGACTCAAAAAAAAAGGATGTTTAATCTTTGTTTCTATTACAACAGTAGAAATTTTTAAAGGCAAACTTCAGCATGAGATACTATGAGTACAGTTCATATGCGCTGAGTTTGGGAGCAGTCAGAAGGATTCTGGTTCTCTATTAATAAATTTCAGATCATACCAGAGCAATGCTTCTCAAACTATCTGCAGTGAAGGATGCATTTGTTAATTATCAATCACAGACTTTGTAAAATACAGTAACAACAAACTACTAGAAAAACAAAACACAAAGACATGTAAAATACAAGGCCAAGCTTTTTAGATTAGATTAAACAGACATGAAATTACTCTATCGATTTGCTATAAAAGTCTCTAAATATTTACTCTTGTTTTCTGTACCTATCTCATCTAGATCAGTAACAGTTTGCAAACCAGGACTGGGTACACAGACCACACAGCAGCTTTAAACTAGAGGATCTTTTCCAGTTCACTGGAGTGGGAAGACTGAAGGGATCTGATAATCAGATTTGCTTCAGCTATTAATACAAGCAAGTATCAGCTCTCACTTTTACCTATTAGTCTTCATATAGTTATTATAAATATTACCTGTTATTTTGAATCTTGAATTTTATTGACATTACTGTATATAAAGAAATTTGCTTGACAAAATGAGTTACTTTTCAAGATTTTCCTTAATGTTTTTCTACTAGTAATATGCACTACCTATCTCAATTACTCAATATTCTACACTACAGGAATACGATTATCTTTAAAAGACTTTCTGCAAGTCATGTCAAAAAGCCCACCTTTCTATGACCCTCCTGAAAAGAGACTGGGCTATTTTTTAAGAATTAATACTACTCACCTCTACTTTTATGGCATTTTTTAAAGTGCCAGAAACTAAAATGATTAAACTAGAAAGGAAGGTGTCTTACAGATATGTTACCTGAGAACAAAATGATTCACAGAATATCAACCAAAAATCTGGCTGCAACCTATCTTTTTTATAAATACTTATAACTTGCAACAAAAAATGAAACTCAAAGCTTACCACAGGATTGGGTTTGGGAGTATAGGGCCTTGCAGCTTTAATTCCAGGGAGCAGTTTGCCCTTCACAGTAGTAGATAAAACTTCTGGCTGATGCAACAACAATGGTTTCATGGGCTCAATGACAGAGGGAGTTGGAATATAAACTGGCTCTGGATCTACTTCACCTTCTACTTTCACCCATAATGGGTAATGTCGGATGGGCTGTTCAGGCTCTGTTTCACATATAGCTTAACAAAAAGAGTAAGATTTTAGGCACTTTTGTCAAGAAAAGTTCAATGCTGAGGCATTGCCAAAACAAAATATGCTCTCTCACAAAAGGCAATGACTAATTAAAACAATCAAATAGATGCTCCCTAAATAAACCTTACCAAACATTTATCCAACATCTACTATGAACGAGATACAGTTTTAGGCTCTAGAATAAACACAGCAATGAAGAAAACGAAGTTCTTGCCCTCACAGAGTTTATAACCCAGTAGGAGAGAACAGATACATAAAATCAAGTAATGGTAAGTGTCATGTAAAAAAATATATCAGGGTAAGGGGATGAAGAGTTAACAGGGGATGTTATTATACTTAGCATGGTCAGAAAAGGCTTTCTTGAAGAGATACCACTCTGTATCACACTTTATTTTACAAATAACAAAGCCAACGTTTATTGAACCTTACTATGTGTGCCTGTTCCAAGCACTTAATGTGCTTTACTTCATTTAACTATTACAAGAGCCCCAAGGTAAATATTATTATTGTTCCCATTTTAAAGAAGCTGAGGTCCAGGGGAGTGTAAGCAGTAAGTGAAAGAACCAGGATCAAACCCAGGCAAACTAGTTCCACAGACCAAGCTGTTACCGTTGCCTTCTGATGGTGAATCATGATCACAAGACAACCTGACCTCAGCACAGGAGCAAAAACATTTATATCAATATAAAAACAACAAAACCCAACTGAGGCGAAATCATTCTATCAAGAAGTTCTGCACAAAGAAAACACGGGTTCATTATTTAAACAAATTTAATACACAATTTAGGTTAAGGGGATCCTGGCTTTATTCCACAAGCAAATTGCCACTCCCCATAAATAAGACAGCTCCAGAGAAGCGAACACTGTATTTTCCATTCTAATGGTTGGTCTTCAAGGAGCCCTGGTGGCACAGTAGTTAAAGTGCTCAGCTGCGAACCGAAAGGTTGGTGATTAGAACTACCAGCTACTTCACGGGAAAAAGATGTGGCAGTCTGCTTCTGTAAAGATTATGGTCTTGGAAATCCAATGGGGCAGTTCTATTCCGTTCTACAGGGTCACTACGAGTTGGCATCGACTCCACGGCAATGGGTTTTTTTTTTTTTTTTTTTTGGGTTTGGTCAGTCGTCAGAGGGGATGAATCTGGTTCAAAGTCAGAGATCCAAAACTTCTTCCTAAAGTCACATAAAACGATCCTGAGCAATACTCACACTTCATTCAAATACCTAGTTCAATTAATCTCTCATGACAAAGCAAAACTCAAACTGCCCCTGATTTCAAATGAAGTGTATTTGCTCTGAACATTAAGACCCCACTTGTGAAGAACATCTTTGTCCAAGGAGCTCCTTCAAAGCACAACCTCAAAACGCTGAATAAAATTGAAGATTAAAATAAGAGGAAAAAACCTTCAATGCTAAAGTGATTAATGAGCCAGTTACTCAGCTATTTAGAATTCTCTGTTATCCATCTTTTAAACCCTGGCTCATTTATCACATAATTCAGAAATGAATACCCCAGTATTCATTCATGCATTCAACTATTTGAATGTCAGCCCAGGTGGTGCAATGGTTAAAGTGCTTGGCTCCTAACGGCTTCGAGGGAGAGCAGTCCTGGCGATCTGCTCCCGTAAAGACTACAGCCTAGGCAACACTATGGGGCAGTTCTACTGTCTGATAAGGTCGCTCTGAGTTGGAATCAACTTGACAGCACACAATATTAGCAACTTGGGTCAGACTTTGCAGATACAGTAAGGAACAAAACTGACAAAAATCCCTGCCTTAATGTAGCTTACATTTAAGTTGGGTGTGAAAGACAGGCAATAAACACCACAAATTAAGAAAAATCTGTTAGTGGTAAGTGCTTAATAAGAAAGAACAAAGCAGGGAAGGGGAAGAGGGAGTACATGCAGTGACTGTGTGAGTATGTATTTTGAGGAGAGGAATGCATTTATAAAAAGGATGGCCACGATGACCTCACAATCAAAATGGTATATGAAAAGTCTCTACAACTAATTTGGCAAAAACTTTATTTTCCAGTGTTGTTAGTTATCTTATATATTAACACATATTAATTCTATTACAGAAATAAAAATGCCTTAAAAGGACAGGCACTATTGTAGTATTCAACCTCTTTCAATCCCCTTCAAGGATTTTTCTAACCCTCCATAAAAGGAGCTTATTGGGAAGGGTAAAGTTCAGTTCTGCTTCTGACATCTAAGACTGAAGTGACAACAACATAATCAAATACAATAGGTGATTAAAAATTAGAACTGTCAGCTGAAGTCATGAAAACAGACACACTCCCCACAAGGGCAAGAATAACAGACCTCAGTCTCTTCCTCTCCATTAGTCTACTGTTATACTTGATTCCTTTACACAGCCTGGGGTCCAAGATAAAGCACTTCACTGTGCCCTTAAACACTACACTAGAGACCCTGCTGTTCTTTAGCCGAAATTCAGAAAAAAGAGCTAGTATAGGTAAGAAAAGACAGAATTAGGAGAATCAGACTAGCGTGTATTAACAGAAGTAATGAAGCCATGAGCAGAAGAAACGAGTTTCGAGAAAGAAGTGGTCTGTCTTCTTTCTAATCAAATGTCTCCTAATAAATGTTACCTTCCCAATTCCCCTAGAATTTTCACTCAGTCTTCTAGGTTCTTAATAACCCTTTTGTTTGTACTTAAAACACTATGGCTCTAATCTCTAAAATCTATAAGATACTACAAACTTCAACCACAAAAAGACAAATAACCCAATTAAAAAATGGGCAAAGGATATGCACGGGCACTTCACCAAGGAAGACATTCAGGTGGCTTGCACACACACGAGGAAATGCTCAAGATCATCAGCCATTAGAGAAATGCAGATCAAAACTACAATGAGATACCATCTCACCCCAACAAGGCTAGCATTAATCCAAAAAACAACAAAGTAATAAATGTTGGAGAGGTTGTGGAGAGACTGGAACACTTATACATTGCTGATGCGAATGTAAAATGGTACGAACACTTTGGAAATTGACTTGGCGCTTCCCTAAAAAGCTAGAAATAGAAGTACCATACGCTCCAGCAATCCCACTGCTTGGAATACATCCTAGAGAAATAAGAGCCATCACACGAACAGATATATGCACACCCATGTTCATTGCAGCACTGTTCACAATAGCACAACGATGGAAACAACCTAGGTGCCCATCAACAGATGGATAAACAAATCATAGTACATCCACACAATGGAATACTATGCAACGATAAAGAACAACAATTAATCTGTGAAACTTCTCATAATATGGATGAATCTGGAAGATATTATGCTGAGTGAAATTAGTCAATCGCGAAAGGACAAACATTGTATGAGAATACTATTGTAAGAACTCAAGAAAAGGTTTAAACACTGAAGAAAACATTCTTTGATAGTTATGAGGGTGAGGAGAGAGGGAGAGAGGAATTCACTAGATCGCAGACAAGAATTATCTTAGGTTAAGGGAAGGACAACACACAATATAGGGGAAGTCAGCACCACGCGACTGAACAAAAGCTAAGAAGTCTCCTGATCACAATCAAACACTTCAATGGACAGTATAGCAGGTGCAGGGGTCTGGGAACCATGGTTTCAGGGGACATCTAGGTTAATTAGCGTAACACAGTTTATTAAGAGTATGTTCTGCATCCCACTTTAGTGAGTGGCATCTGGGGTCTTAAAAGCTAGCAAGTGGCTACCGAAGATGCATCAATTGGTCCCAACCCACCTGGAGCAAAGGAGAATGAAGAACACCAAAGCCGCAGGAAAATATTAGCCTAAGAGACAAAAGGGGCCACATAAACCAGAGACTCCATCAGCCTGAGACCAGAAGAACTAGATGGTGCCGGGCTACCACCAATGACCACCCTGACAGGAAACACAACAGAAAGTCCCTGATGGAGCAGGAGAAAAGTGGGGTGCAGAATTCAAATTCTAGTAAAAAGACTAGGCTTAATGCTCAGAGACTGGAGGAACCCCAGAAGACATGGCCCCCACACTCTCTTGTTAATGAAGAACTAAAACCATTCCCGAAGTCAACTCTTCAAAGAATAGACTGGACTACAAGACATAAAATGATACTCATGAAGAACGTGCTTCTTAGTTCAAGCAGATACACAAGACTAAATGGGCAGCTCCTGTCCGGAGGTGAAATGAGAAGGCAGAAAGGGACAGGAACTGGTTGAATGGACACGGGAAATCGGAGTGGAAAGGAGGAATGTGTGGTGACATTACAGAGATAGCAACTAGGGTCACATAACAATGTGTGTATAAATTTTTGCACGAGAAACCAACTTGAGCTGTAAATTTTCACCTAAAGCATAATTTTTTTAAAAAAGCCATTCTCAGAGAAAAATTCCATTTAAAAAGGGGCATGTGTGTGTGAGCATTTATCACACATGCCAAACAGAATGCACACTGAAAGATTAATAATGATTTCTCAAAATATGGACAAGTGGAGCAGGATGAAAGTAGGTATTACTGTTCTCAAATAAGCAGTTTTCCAAAATATTAAAACTCTTGTTTTAACCCCCAGTGAATACTCACTGTATTCTAGCTTCTTTCTCTTCTTCTTCTCTTTCAAGAGTTCCTCCTCCTCCCTGCCGCCCTCCTCCCCTTCTTCCCTTGGCTCCTCTCCCAGAGCATCATAAACCACTGCATCTCGATGAACAGCTTTCCTCTGGAAATGCTTAGTTTTGGATCCCCCTTTAACAAGGACAACTTTTCTTTTCAAACAAGTGCAGCCAAACATGCAGTCTGGTCGGCGGCAGTGGGCAGGCTGGCGCTTCTCCAGAGCTAGACTGGAACATACACAACCAAGTCGGCAGAAATCGTTGTTGCAGGGAGGAGCGCGTTTCCTTATGATCGTGTGGATAGGTTTAGTTTTGAGAGACGCCTAAAATTAAAGTAGAAAATTACAATTCTACTAAACTGCCCAAATATATGACTTAGAGTCATGTATTTGCTCTGCCTGGTCTGCCTTCTTCTCTAACAGAACAAGGTTAACAAAGATTCAAAAGACAGATCAGAAATGTAGACAGGACTGTGAGCATTTTCCCATTCTAACGCATGGCACAGACAGGCAGAAGAATAACATTCTCACTGATTAGCCAAAATACCAACAAAGATGGATTTATTTGCAATAAAAATTGTACATAATGCTCTAGGGCAGGGGTTGACAAACTAATGCCCACAGACCAAATACAGCCTGTTTTGTAAATAAAGTTTTAATGGAATACAGCCAGGCTCATTCATTTGCAAATTGTCCACAGCACTTAAACAGCAGAGCTGTATAACTGAAAGAGACTGTATGGCCTACAAATCCTAAGATTATTTACTCTCCAGCCCTTTTCAGAAAACGTCTGCCAATCCCTGCTCTAGAGTAGTTAATAAAAAGGGGAGGGCATAATACACACACCAAAGTGTTCAGGAATAAAGGACACATCCTGCATTTAGTCCCAACATCTGATGATCTTCAGCTCTAGAATTTAGTCACAGAATGAAAAAATGGAAAATATAAAAATTCATGATTTAAAAATGACCAACATGTTGTTGTTGCATTATTTGACATGCACCCAGAGGCAGCCAACATGGATGCATTAATAATACATGAAAAATTCTCCATATAAAATTTTACAAATAACAAACGTTTTTTTCTCCATAGGTTTACATATACATTTTTTTTTCCTGGAATTTAGTACCTTTTAAGCAGAATTTTCAAAGTTGCTTTAACAAGGTTAGCAAATGTACTTGTCCACATGCTGGAGAAGGTAATTAGAGACTTTCAGAACAGCCAGCTACCTTCACACAGGAGAAGGGCGTTACCAAAAGCACAACTGTAGTGTCTCCCTCTGCTGGCAGGAGAGATCTAGACCTGAGGGTCTAGTCAGTAAAAAAGGAGAAATGGAGAGGACATCTCCTTCCTTTATTTGCAACCAAGGTAACTAAATGCTTAAAACTTCCTGCCAAAAAACCCCATTCCCAACTTCCCCTCACTAACCTCACTCTTTCTAGCCAAGCACTAATACACTTCCAGAAAAACAGGAGACACTTACTTGAGCCGTGAGCAGAGTTGTTAAGGATACATCTGCTCGCTCTTCGGTGATGTAGGTTCTTGGTTTTCCTTCCCAAAGTGCACAGTCCTCCAGGTCCATTAGCTTCACCTGAGATTTAGACAAGCCTGGAGGTCGAGTTCCCTGAAGCTGCTGCTGTTGTTGGTGTGCCTGCCGCAGACTAATCTGCTTTGGGAAAACATTTTCCTCTGAAGTTGGCATAACAAAGTTATTCACCTGGTTTTCTGAGATCGTGCTTGAAGAATTCTTGGTAACCCTATCTGCTGGAATCACATGAGAGTGTTTTTGTTTTGGTGAAACAGGGTATGGTAAGATGGATTTATAAGCTGATTTAGTTCGGCCACTGAAATTTGCCTGTTTGTTTTGAGACTTCGCCTTTCGAGAAGGAGGGGGTACAGAATGAGGCTTCAAAGAGTAAGAGGTAGAAGGGGAAATGGTAGATTGCTTCTTTAGTACACTATCAAGTGTTCGTACATAGCTGGTACTCTTGGTGGGAAGCTGGTATACCACAGGAGATGTGGGAGCGCTGGAAGAGAAATCCATGCTTGTTTCCATCAGCTTGCCTTCGTTTTCCAAATATTCATCTAGCTTGTCACTACAGAAAGCAGAACGGTTTTTCAGTGAACCTTCAGAATTGCCTCCTAGAAACAGAGACACAAGATACTTTTAACAACCTAGGGCAAACAAAAAAATTTTGTATTGTTTATCTAAGTTGCCTTAATACTTTTTTTTTAAATCACACAAACGTGTATCTGTAATAAAACTATTTTACAAAAATAAATAAATAAATAAAACTAGGGTGGATCTTTAGGGAAAAAACACACTAAAAAATGCCAGGCACATTGGTTACAAGCTACTGAATCTTCTAAACTGTCCCTCCTCAGAAGGAAGGCAAAATACAAAACCAAGAGAAGACACTGAGTCTCAGATACTAATTACATTAAAATCTATTCTCTATGGAAATTTAAGATGTTTACTCAAATTATGTCTTACCCTAAAATTATCAAGTTACATATTTACTGAACATTAACTATTTGCCAATTGTACACACTGTAATTAACGTAAGAATCTTCAATCTTTGACAACTTATGATCTATCTAGACCACACTTAAGTAAAAACACAAGAGTAAATAATGTACTTAAATCAAATCAGACCTCAATAAGATGTCAAGGGATTACTTAAAAGACTGGAATACCTGAAGTCTGATACAAAATGCTCGGGAAGAGGTGAGGTCACGAAAAGAAGAGTATAAAATTTAGTTCTTAAGGGAACAAAAAGCAAGTTTAGTAGAGAGCTGAGCATTACACTGAAAAACACCATCAACAAAGACGAGGAAAATTATTTTACACAAATCAATGGTAAATTTATCTGGTTAGAATGTAAACAGTCAAAAAGTGCACGGAGTAAGGAAAAAAACTACGAAAGGAGAGCAACTGTCACACGGTCAAAAAACTAAGATTACAAGTTCACTTTGATGTATTAGGTTATTAAAATCATGGTAGAGAGCTCTAAAAGTTAATATTCAAAAATAATGCTTGAGAATGATGTTTTTTTGTAACTGTAAGAATAACAGAATGGAAAGAGCAGTTAAAAAGGCTGCAGAGATTTTTTAGGCCTGATATGGTTAGGGACTGAACCAGGGTTGCAATTACGGGAAAACAGAATGAATAAAAAATCAGCAAGACAATTTATTTTCAGTTCACTTTAAAGCATGAACAGAAAAAAATGAAGAAATAAAATGAGAACTACTTTTAACAAAAGGCTTTGGCTACTACATATGTCAGAATATATTTAGAATTAAAAAAAAAAAAAAACCTTAACTAATTACCTTCACTCCTAGCTGCAGAAGCACTATGAAACTTTCCCCTCCATCCCTTGATTTTGGTGAAATCATTGGTCTTCCCTGTTCTAGAAACAAAGGGAAAGCCAGCATCTATAAAAGAAAAAGAAAAAGAGATAACCAAAACGCTAGCAAGCCAGTATTTTATATCTAATTAATGATTAAGACTTTCTCTGAAATTTAGAAATCATCTGTTAAGGCTACGCCAATAAATAAAAGATCTGAACATGGGATATCCAAAATGTCTCTAACAACCCAAAAACCCACTGCCATCGAGTCGATTCTGACTCATAGCGACCCTACAGGACAGAGTAGAACTGCCTCATAGGGTTTCCAAGGAGCGCCTGGTGGATTAAAACTGTTGACCTTTTGGTTAGCAGCCACAGCTCTTAACCACTACGTCACCAGGGTTTCCGTCTCTAACAAAGGTAACTTTAATTTATATCACAAATAACCTTAACTTTAAATAAGAAAAACTGTTTCACTTTACAAAGCTACACACTCACCAGGAGAGGCAGGGTTGGTTCCTGTAAGGTTCCAGAAAGGAAAGCTAGTGGCTGGAGCCAAAGGTAGCTGTACTCCCAAGTACTTAAGATCAATGCTCACTGTTGGATCCACTGAATTCAACTTTAGGCCCACTGCAAGAAAAACAGAACCACAAATCAAATTATCTCTCTTCTTTTTTCTTCTTTTGGTGGTAGTGGGAAGTTAATAGAAATAAATGAGATAGTATAGAGTAAAAATGATAAACATAAATGGCGGCAAACAGACTTTAGGGTGGCCCTCATGATCCCCGCCTCCTGATACTACTTATTTGTGTAATCTCTACCCCCTCGAGTTTGGCAGAACCTGTTGTTTGTTTCTAACCAATGGACTGTGGCAAAGGGACTGATATACTTGACTATGTATATGCCATCACATATGAGTATGGCACTCATCTTAACAGAGCTGCAAGAAAATTAATTCTGCCAACAACCTGAGGGAAACTGGAAGCAGATCCTTCCCCCGTCAGGCCTTTGATGAGAAACCAGGCCTATCCACCATCCTGATTTGCAGCCCTGTATAACCCTAAGCAGAGGACTCAATTGACTAGGCCATGCCTGCACTCCTGACCCACAGAAATTGTGAGACAACATTGTTAGGTGCCGTCGAGTCACTTCCAATTCACAGAGACCCTATGTACAACAGAACGAAACACTGCCTGGTCCTGCACCATCCTCACAACCACTGCTATGTTTGAGCCCACTGCTGCAGCCACTCTGTCAATTCATCTCGCTGAGGGTCTTCCTCTTTTCACTGACACTCTACTTTACCAAGCATGATCTCCTTCTCCAAACCCTCCCGATAACATGTCCAAAGTACGTAAGACAAAGTCTCGCCACTCTTACTTCGAAGGAGCATTCTGGCTGTACTTCCAAGACAGATTTATTCCTTCTTCTGGCAGTTCGCCGTATATCCAATATTCTTCACCAACACCGTAATTCAAAGGCATCAATTCTTCTTTAGGCTTCCTTATTCCGCTTTCACATGCATATGAGGTAACTGAAAACACCATGGCTTGGGTCAGGCACACCTCAGTCCTCAAAGTGACATCTTTGCTTTTCAACACTTTATCAAGAGGTCTTCTGCAGCAGATTTGCCCAATGCAATACGTCGTTTGATTTCCTGATGCTGCTTCCATGGGTGCTGATAGCAGATCCAATTAAAATGAAATCCTTGACAACGTCAATGTTTTCTCCTGTTATCATGTTGCTTACTGGTCCAGTTGTGAGGATTTCTGTTTCCTTTATGTTGAAGTGTAATCCACACTGAAGGCTGTAGTCTTTGATCTTCAACAGTAAGTGCTTCAAGTCTTCTTTGCTTTCAGCAAGCAAGGTTGTGTCATCTGCGTATCACAGGTTGTTAATGAGTCTTCCTCCAATCCCGATGCTGCATTCTTTTTCTTACAGTCAGCTTCTCTGATTATTATTTGCTCAGCATATAGATTAAATAAATACGGTGAAAGGATACAACCCTGACGCATACCTTTCCTGATTTTAAACCATGCAGTATCCCCTTGCTCTGTTCGAAAAACTGCCTCTTGGTCTATGTACAGGTTCCTCATGAGCACCATTAAGCGTTCTGTAATTCCCATTCTTTGCGATGTCATCCATAACTTGTGATCCACACAGTTGAATGCCTTTACATAGCCAATAAAACACAGGTAAACATCTTTCTGGTATTCTCTGCTTTCAGCCATGACCCATCTGACATCAGCAATAATACCCTGGTTCCACGTCCTCTTCTGAATCTGGCCTGAATTTCTGGCAGTTTCCTGTTGATATACTGCTGCAGCCACTTTTGAAAGATGTTCAGCAAAATTTTACTTGTGTGTGATATTGTTTGATAATTTCCAAATTCTGTTGGATCACCTTTCTTCGGAATGGGCACAATATGGATCCCTTCCAACTGGTTGGCATACAGACCAGCTAGCGCTTCCAGCACTGCATCATTTCTCCAAACATCTCAATTTGTATTCCATCAATTCCTGGAGGCTTGTTTTTCGCCAGTACATTTAGTGCAGCTTGGACTTGTTCCTTCAGTACCCTCGGTACTTGATCATACGCTACCTACTGAAACGGTTGAATGCCACCCAGTTCTTTTTGGTACAGTGACTGTGTATTCCTTCCATCCGAGACAATAAACGGAGCCCTGGTGGCGCAGCGGTTAAGAGCTCAGCTGCTAACCAAAAAAGGTCAGCATCTGAACACACCAGCCACTCCCTGGAAACCCTACGGGGCAGTTCTATTCTGTTACAGGGTACGAGTCTAATCAACTTGACGGCAATGGGTTTTAGTTTTTTTGGTTTAAGAGACAATAAACATGTATTATTTTAAGTTGCTAAGTTTGTAGTAATTTATTATGCACCAACAGATAATGGATACAAAAACACAGCAGATCTGAGACCCTTTGTGCTTTTAACCCTTTATTGTTCAAAGACTTTCTAAGGTCACTAATACAAACTTGCCATACACTGAGCTTCTGGCCTGTTTATGGCAATTGATTCTCTAGTTTTTATTGAAGGTATTAATGATAACTGAGCCTATAAATATAATGAATTGTTTATTTGTAGCCTAAGAGGCAATCTTTTAGGGAAGTATTTAATCTAAATTTTAACAAAATTGAGGACAAAGAAGTTCAAAGTATTAGCTAACACGGTAATAATCATTAAAGTCACAGGCACACATTTCCAATAAAAAGCTCACAGTGTTGTTTCCCTAAAAGGTGAAGATACTGTGGAGGTTATTTTATGGCTAATTTCTGTATCCTCCCATAGAGCTTAGCTGCCTAAAAAATGGCACCTCTGTTTTGGTTTGCAATTTCAGTTCTTTAAAGTAAATACTTTTGCATGTCATAGTTAAAACTAAGGTCAATAGAACAAAACATTCTTTCTTCATGTTCCTTATCAATTGGGGGTGGGGGTTGGGGGGACCAAAATTCTGAAACCAAACAACTGGTTTCTAATCTTTTCATTACTATTTCTTAATTTTGTATTTGGGGAAAACTTCTCTTAGCTTTAATTTTCTCATCAGTAAAACAGTGAATACCAATCCAGTACACTGTGTTGTATGATGAAAGAATTTACTCACTCTTCTCTGTGAAATACTCTAATGTAAATGGTGATAGGGACATGCAAGACAGTTCTCAGATCTGAAGGAGTTTTACCATACCATCTGCTGTTGCGCCGAACCCACTCACAGCAACCCCATGTGTGTCAGAGTAGAACTGTGCTCCATAGGGTTTTCAATGGCTGTGATCTTTCGGAAGTAAATCGCCAAGTCTTTCTTCTGAGATGCCTCTGGGTGGATTCAAACAGCCAACCTTTCAGTTAGTAGCTGAGTGCTTAAACATTTGCACCACCCAGGGACTCCATTAAGGAGCTTTAGTGTTATGTTTTCCCAAATGATTTACTAGTTACACTAGGGTAAAAAAGTACTACCAGAGGTAAACAAAAAGGAACTACACCGAACAGCCCCAGGCAATCAGGTAAAACTTTACTGAGGGTATGACTCTAAGTTAGAATAAGTAAGAATTAATTGGGAAAGGTGGGGGTAAGAAGGAAGAAGAGTAGAACCAGAATGCAGGAAGCTACTGAGGAAAGCCAAGTGAGAACTAAATCCTAAACAAAGGGTGAAATGAGATACTGTAGCGCTCCGAGAATAGAAAAATACTGTAGTATTATTCATTATTAATGACAAAAATTGCCAGAACAGTTCCCTACAGAGCAAGTAGAAAGAATAAAGTTTTAAAAAATATACCTATATAGCACAAGTATGTAAGGCATGGAAAATCTAAACTCATACCATCAGATTTAGAGACTGTTTTTCCTATGTATTTTCTTGCTTTCATTCACTTGTGTATTTTGTACTGTGATACCAAGGCCGCCAACAACAACAAAAAAGTTTATTTTAAATACACTTATCAAAACAAAACAAAACAAAAACAGGCAAACCCATTAGGATGCTATTATTTAAAAAATGGAAAATAACAAGTGTTAGGTTGTGAAGAAATTGGAACCCTTGTCCACTGCGGATAGAAATGTGAAATGGTGTGGGCAGTGCGGAAAACAGTTTGGTGGTTCCACAAGAAGTTAAACAGGATTACCATATAACCAGCAATTCCACTCCTGGGTATATACCCAAAAGAATTGAAAGGGGGAACTCAAAACAGATACTTGTACACCAATGTTCACTGCAACATTATTGACAATAGTCAAAAGGGGGAAACAACCCAAGTGCCCATCAACAGATAAATGGATAAACAAAATGTGGTATAATCATACAATGGAGTATTATTGCAGCCATAAAACGGTACGAAGTTGTGATACTATGACACGGATGACCCTTGAAAACCTTACACAAAGTGAAATTAGTCAGACACAAAAGGACAAATATTATATGATTCCACTTACATGAAATATCTAGACTAGACAAATGCATAGCTACAGAAAGTAGATGGGGGGTTACCACAGTCTGGGGAGAGGGGAGTTATTGCTTAATTGGTACAGAGTTTCTGTCTGGAGTGATAAGTTTTGGAAGCAAATAATGGTGATGGCTACACAACACTATAAATGTGATTAACGCCACTGGATTGAGCACTTGAAAATGGTTAAAATGGCAAAAAATAAATAAAATTACATGGCTAAATACACACAGGGTAAATAAATAGCAAGCCCAGAAAGCAAAGAAGTCAATGGCACATGAACACTGCTCAAAGTACTTCCCAATTTAGCTTACCTAGACAAACCTGAAGCGTTTGTCTTACAAGAAAACCCCTCCCCGAGTTAACAGATACATGAGCTGGTTTCATAGGAATGAGCATAAATAACTTGAGCTTGCAGAAAACAACTGAATAATTCAAAGAAAGCATATACTGAAAACTCTGAAATGTTTTCCACATAGGACAGTTTAAACTAAATAACACTCTTAAACTGCTTTTACCTCACTTCACCATATCAAAGGCTACTTCTTAAAGCGATATTATCATACCCTTGCATAAAAGATCCATAAAGACAGAAGTAAAGAAGAGAGAATCTTTACAGTTCATGTAAAAGCAAAGTCACCTAAAATAATATACTATAGCAAAAGGTGCCTGCTTC